ATAATTCACGCATTTTCACAAATTTTCACAATTTTTCACAAAAGACTATAATTCACGCATTTTCACAAATTTTCACAATTTTTTTCAAAAAGACTATAATTCACGCATTTTCACAATTTTTCATACAAAGACTATAATTCACGCATTTTCACAAATTTTCACAATTTTTCACAAAAGACTATAATTCACGCATTTTCACAAATTTTCACAATTTTTCACAAAAGACTATAATTCATGCATTTTCACAAATTTTCACAATTTTTCACAAAGACTATAATTCACACATTTTCACAAATTTTCACAATTTTTCACAAAAAGACTATATTTCACACATTTTCAAGCATTTTCATAAATTTTCACAATTTTTCACAAAAAGACTATAATTCACGCATTTTCACAAATTTTCACAATTTTCACAAAAGACTATAATTCACGCATTTTCACAAATTTCACAATTTTTTCACAAAGACTATAATTCACGCATTTTCACAAATTTTCACAATTTTTCACAAAAAGACTATAATTCACGCATTTTCACAAATTTTCACAATTTTTACAAAAGACTATAATTCACGCATTTTCACAAATTTTCACAATTTTTCTTAAAAAGACTATAATTCATACATTTCAAATTTTTACAAATTTTCACAATTTTTCACAAAAAGACTATAATTCACACATTTTCACGCATTTTCACAAATTTTGACAATTTTTCACAAAAAGACTATAATTCACGCATTTTCACAAATTTTCACAATTTTTCACAAAAAGACTATAATTCACAAATTTTCACAATTTTTAACAAAAAGACTATAATTCACGCATTTTCACAAATTTTCACAATTTTTCACAAAAGACTATAATTCACGCATTTTCACAAATTTTCACAATTTTTCACAAAAGACTATAATTCACGCATTTTCACAAATTTTACAATTTTTCACAAAAAGACTATAATTCACGCATTTTCACAAATTTTCACAATTTTTCACAAACAGACTATAATTCACGCAATTTTACAAATTTTCACAATTTTTCACTATAAGGACTTTATTTTCAAGATTTTTTCACATTTTTCAGCTCAAAAAGCTGACAAATTCACGATTTTCTAACTAGATTATACATTTTTACAAAAACTGATAATGAATAAATATATAAATAATTTCAAAATTTTATGATAAAATAGCTGGACATATTAAAAATTTTCACAAAGATAAAATTAATTTATAAAAATTAAAATTAAAATTAGGTAGTTTACTACTATTTTAATATTTTTCAAAGTTTTCCAGGTTTTATATGAGCTTATAAAATGCTTTTTCACAGCTATTTTGAATAGATTTATACTAGGCATTTTTGATATACCATGGGGAAGGCTGTTCCATAACTTAACAATGTTAACACTGAACGCCTTTTCACCATCGTTATTTCAGGTATTTGGGACACACTAAATTTAAATTGCCATGTCTCGTGGACCTATTAGAACAGAACTGTTCGTCTTGAACAAATCTTTGATATAAATGGGAACATCGCATTTGAGGCTCTTAAAGATCATGGCACATTTGTTTAGTTTTATTTCTCAAAAAAGGCAACCAGCTAGTTTACTAAAGTTTACAACACTTCTAGAATAAGGGTCTACCTAAGAATTACTTCGGGCACCATTTTTGTAACCTTAGGAGACAGTGGAGTTTTAACGTCGCAGGTATTCCAAACCATTTTCACAAAATATAAGGATGGGTTTAATCAAGGCGTTATAGTATAAAAGTCTTCTTTTATTGGAAGGTATCTCTTTATCTTTTAATAAACCAATACGCTGAGAAAGCTTGGCCTTTTAGGCTAGAAATTGGTCACTAAATGTAAGATCTTGATCGAGTGTTTCACCAAGCAATTATAAGAGGTTACTTGTTCTATTTCGGCCCCATCATTTTTCACTGACAGGTGATTGCCATCAACTAATGAGGAATTTAGCCTCTTTCCAGTGATAAGTAATGCTTGGTTTTAAAGCGTTTAGGACCATCCCATTTTGCTAGACCATTTACTTAATTTATCCATGTATTCTTGAAGACACGCTTTTCCAATTCCAAAGGTGCATTATCGATATTAGCGCTGGTTTAAATTGGTGTCATCCGCGTAAGGATGAATAGTTGAGTCCGATCCAACAGCTTCGGGAAGATCATTGACGAAAATTAAAACAGTAGAGGTCCTAATATGCTACCTTCAGGAACTCCATTGGTTAGCATTTGTGACGAAGTCGAGTTATTTACAGTGACACACTGTTTGCAATTGAGTAGATAGCTCTGCAATAGCTTTACAACATTATCTGAAATCCATAAGATCTTAACTTTACTAGAAAATTCATGATTGATCGTCAAATGCCTTGATCAATTTTTCACAAAAGACTATAATTCACGCATTTTCACAAATTTTCACAATTTTGCATACAAAGACTATAATAAATGCATTTTCACAAATTTTCACAATTTTTCACAAAAAGACAATAATTCACGCATTTTCACAAATTTTCACAATTATTCACAAAAAGACAATAATTCAGGCATTTTCACAAATTTTCACAAATTTTCACAAAAAGACTATAATTCACGCATTTTCACAAATTTTCACAATTTTTCATACAAAGACTATAATTCACGCATTTTCACAAATTTTCACAATTTTTCACAAAAGGACAATAATTCGTGCATTTTCACAAATTTTCACAATTTTTCAAAAAAAGACTATAAATCAGGCATTTTCACAGTTTTTCATACAAAGACTATAATTCACGCATTTTCACAAATTTTCACAATTTTTCACAAAAAGACTATAATTCACGCATTTTCACAAATTTTGACAATTTTTCAAAAAAAGACTATAAATCAGGCATTTTCACAGTTTTTCATACAAAGACTATAATTCACGCATTTTCACAAATTTTCACAATTTTTCACTAAAGACTATAATTCACGCATTTTCACAAATTTTCACAATTTTTCATACAAAGACTATAATTCATGCATTTTCACAAATTTTCACAATTTTTCACAAAGACTATAATTCACATTTTCACAAATTTTCACATTTTTCACAAAAAGATTTACATTTTCACGCATTTTCACAAATTTCACAATTTTTCACAAAGACTATAATTCACGCATTTTCACAATTTTTCATAAAAAGACTATAATTCACGCATTTCCACAAATTTCGACAATTTTTCATAAAAGACTATAATTCACACATTTTCACAAATTTTCACAATTTTTCACAAAAAGACTATAATTCACGCATTTTCACAATTTTTCATAAAAAGACTATAATTCACGCATTTTCACAATTTTCACAATTTTTCACAAAAGACTATAATTCACGCATTTTCACAATTTTCACAATTTTTCACAAAAGACTATAATTCACGCATTTTCACAATTTTTCAATTTTTTATACAAAGACTATAATTCATGCATTTTCCAAATTTTCACAATTTTTCACAAAAAGACTATAATTCACGCATTTTCCAAATTTTCACAATTTTCACAAAAGACTATAATTCAGGCATTTCACAATTTTCACAATTTTCACAAAGACTATAAATCACGCTTTATCACAGATTTTTACAATTTTCTATACAAAGACTATAATTCATGCATTTTCACAAATTTTCACAATTTTTCACAAAAGACTATAATTCACGCATTTTCACAAATTTTCACAATTTTTCACAAAAAGACTATAATTCAGGCATTTTCACAAATTTTCACAATTATTCACAAAAGACTATAATTCACGCATTTTCACAAATTTTCACAATTTTTCACAAAAAGACTATAATTCACAAATTTTCACAAATTTTCACAATTTTTCATACAAAGACTATAATAAACGTATTTTCACAATTTTTCACAATTATTCACAAAAGACTATAATTCACGAATTTTCATGCAAAACACTATAATTCACATATTTTCACCAAAAGACTATAATTCACGAATTTTCATGCAAAAGACTATAATTCACGAATTTTCATGCAAAAGACTATAATTCACGAATTTTTGTGCAAAAGACTATAGTTTACGCATTTTCACCAAAAGACTATAATTCATGCATTTTTTTATATAAGATTTTTTCTTACAAAGACTATAATTCATGCATTCTCACAAACTTTTACATTTTTTCTTACAAAGACTATAATTCATGCATTGTCACAAATTTTTACAGTGATGGGATGAAGACGTATTATTCAATTTTATAAAATCAAGGCGTAAACGTCTCAAATAAAAGTTACACAAAAATGTTGAAGAAATAATGAAAGAAATATATACACAAAGGTAGTCAAAAAATCAAAAATATAGACGCAAAGAAAGACATAATGGTGGACACAAAGTTAGACAGAAAATTAGACGCAACGATGAACGAAATAGAGAGAAACAAAAATGGACACAAAGGTATACAGAAGGACAGACAGAAAGAGAAACAAAAATGTAGACATAAACGTAGACAAAAATTACACAGAAAGATAGACAGAATTAAATATAGAGTGTAGACGAACAGCTAGACAAAAAGGTTGACACAAAGGTAGACAAAATCACAAAAAATAACGCAAAGGAAGGCCTAAAGACAAACAAAAACGTAGACATAGAGATGAACACAAAAGTGGACAAAGATTAAACAAACAATACACTCATATTTACATATAACTATATAAACTGTGGTGTTAAACATAATTTTACAATTTTTTTTTTAAATTTTGGCTTCATAAAATCAATCAGAAGGTAGCACGCTTCAGTTATATTCATTTTCCAACTCAAAAATAAAAAAATGCCTTTTTTTGAAATAAAAATCAAAAAAATCCTAACAGCTTTCATATATCCCGAGATCTCGGGTTAATGATTAATTCCGATGATAAAAGCCCAAGCTGGCAACGCTGTCGCTCCTCAAGAGACTGGACACCACTCTCTAAATATATGAATTTTTGTGATAATTTTGGTCTTGGTTCCATAACAAATTTCACCATTTCAATTGGATTAATTCTTTACGTTATTGTGTTACTACTTTAGACTTTCTTGGCTGAGTAAAAATGATTTGGCATTTTAAATTGGCTTTTGTTGCGATTGTACTCTTGTCGTGTTGTTTACTGTTTATAGCCGCTGCAATTTTGATTGTTATCGCTGCTAGATGGTTTGTCAGCAAACGTGGAAGAACAAAGATTGAAACGCTACCTACTAATGACTTAAAATCTTCAACTTCTTCTAAAACCATTGCATTTTTTCATCCGTATTGCAATGCCGGTGGTGGAGGGGAAAGGGTTCTCTGGACAGCAATACGAGCACTTCAGAGGAATATTCTCATTTAAAGTTTGTAATTTACACTGGAGATGGTCATGTCACTGGAGATGACATATTAAAAAGAGCAAACGAACGATTTAACATATCTTTAAAACAATCTGTGAAGTTTGTATTTCTTGAGAAACGTGAATGGGTGGAGGCTCGTCATTATCCTTTTTTAACGTTACTCGGGCAAAGTATTGGATCTATTTATCTTGGCTGGGAGGCACTTATGAAATTTAATCCAGATATTTATATTGATACAATGGGTTATGCATTTACCTTGCCACTTTTTAAATACATTGGCAAATGTGATGTGGGTTGCTATGTTCATTATCCAACAATCAGTACAGATATGTTGTCAAAAGTTAGTGACAGAAGAGCAACATATAACAATGCATCATTCATAGCTAGAAGTAAAGTTTTAAGTTATCTTAAACTATTATACTACAAACTGTTTGCATACGTCTATGGATTGGCCGGGTCATGTGCTGATGTTGTCATGGTGAACTCCTCATGGACCCTGGAACACATTAGGACACTTTGGGGAAAAGATGTATCAACAGTATTTCCGCCTTGTGATACAAGAGCTTTTCTCAACATTAAGAGGAAAGATGTTGAATTAAAATTGATAATTTCTATTGGTCAATTTAGACCTGAAAAGGATCACGCATTGCAAATAAGATCATTTGCTAAATTCCTACAAAAAATATCTAATGACAAACGTAGGTGCTATAAGCTTGTTTTAATTGGTAGTTGTCGTAACGAAGATGATTCTAAACGTGTTGGTAGTTTGAAAGTTTTAGCGGCTCAGTTGAACATCAATGAACATGTGGAGTTTGCATTAAATGTCACATTCAAAGAATTAAAAAATCATCTTTCAATGGCTACAATAGGTTTACACACCATGTGGAATGAACATTTTGGTATAGGTGTTGTTGAATGCATGGCTGCTGGGGTTATTACTCTTGCACATAACTCTGGTGGACCTAAGATAGATATTGTCACAGAATGGAGAGGTGCACCTACAGGTTTCTTGGCCGACTCTGAGGATTCTTATGCGACATTGATGTATGATATTTTCTCAATGGGTAACAATGAAAAAACAGAGATGAGAAACAGAGCAAGAGAGTCAGTTGAAGCCCGCTTTTCTGAAAAAGCTTTCGAAACTAGATTTATCAAATGCATGAGTGCAGTCATTGAGGAAAGTAAAGATTGACGTTTTGAAACAGAGAGTAAAAAATATAGCCATGGCACAACAATCTTTAATGTATTAACTATACATAGCTAGTTATCACAGTGCTAAAGTGTGACATGAATAATAATAAATTGAATTTTAAAATCACAATGTACTGTTTAGTTCCTTTAGAGTTTAAACAACGCATTTGACAACAAATAACTAAGCTGTACTAAACTATCAACATCGTCTGTTAAAAAACACTTATATATATACATAGTAATTCTAGATAACGTTGATTTCTTTTTTATGCCTGAAACAGGGAGCGAATTAATAATACTGCTACAGTTTTTTTCATTTGAAGATTCAAGCTGTTACAATTTTACTAATTTTCATTGGAATACAGCTATTTCAAAAACGGATTTTTGATTGCTTACGATAAAAAGAACGAGGTCGTGAATGTATTATCATCGTAAGCCAACCAGTAACATATTGTAACGACTTGCGTAAGTCCTTTCCATGTTATAACGATGTTGATACTATATACTTTGATGATATTCTCTTCACTTCCACACAAATTGTTTTAGCCTTATTCCTCTTCATTTTCATTATTAGGTTTAGTAGTAACACGTCTTGGAACTTGAAAAACTTTTCTAACATTTGGCGATAACACATTAGGAATTGGTGATATTTTTGGAGATGAATTACCAGCAATAACTTCGAGCTTTCTCCTTTTTGAAAGCAATAAACGTTTTCTTGACTGGAGAACACTCTCGCTACGCTTCGGTGTATTAGTGAATGACAGTGGATTCGCTTTGTTTGAACTGAATGTACGGTTAGATTGAACAGTAGTTAAGAAACCCTGAAAACGAAATAAAATTTTAACGAAATGTATTCAATGAACCAGAATATAGTACAGTCGATTCAACCGTAAGTGGGCAGCAGCCTTGGGACCACCACCAGGTGCCCTCCGCTTACGAGAGTTTATGAGAGTTAATATTTTGATGGAAAAAACCAAAAGCAGAATCCGCTTTAGGGAGGTGTACACTTTCGAGAGGTGTCCACAAGTAGAGGTTCAACAGTAATTTGAAAACTTATTTAATATAAAGCTTGGTTTCTATATAATCATCATTGGTCTGATGACGTGTCGTGAAGTCGATAAAATGGAAACCTGGTTTAAGAGACAAAAAATTTATAATGAAAAGATGTCATATAGAAACATAAAAAAACAAACCTCTTTATTTTTCGTAGACATAGTACTATTAAGCCGTTGCGTTTTGCCTGATCCATTTGATAAACTACCATGTATACAAAAATTCTTCGGTCTGTTTGGAGTACACCACTCAGAACTGGGTGTAGACGATTTAGTAGTGGCTAAATTGTCAAACTTGGCTTTAGCTTTTGTCATAAAGGACTCAATATTCTAGAAAACAGAAGAAGCGCCGTGTTACAATATAAATCTTTTCAAATCATAACAAACTTCATTTGACCAACAAAATTGTCTCCTTGACTTACTGAAATTGTCTTTCGCAGTTCACTAAGTCTGTTTCGTAAAATTTTGTTCGATGGATTGGATGAGACCAATGATAACTCATGATACTTTAAAGATGAAACACCATGGTGTTTCTCTGGCTGAGTGAACAAATTGCAAGCAGCTATGATATTACCATCTTTTACTACACCCTCAAGACCATAGCTCTGTAACAAAAATGCAATAATTTATGTCCCTCTTAATCACTATTTATGTGTTGTTTCACTACCATACTTCAATATCAGATAATTATTTCATTATACCATACCTCTAGTCCACCCCAGATTTTTAATACCACAAAAATAAAATCAGCATCCGCGATGTACACCATGGTTAAGCTATAAAATAATAATTATTATACAATAACAATTATACAACACGTGCGCTGATTGGTCTATAGCTTGTGTTTGTATTAGCCAATGAAAACCGATCAGAGCTCAACCGATTAAATCAATCAAAGAGAATTTGCAAACCACACATGAATATATGTTAAAATTAAAAATTAAAACGTTTGTTTTAAATTTGTCTGTTTTGAATTATTGTTATTTCACAAAAGAAATAAAGATGTTTCTTTTGTTTGCACAGGCTTTGCAAACCTCGGAGATGTTTGTGAGAACTCTCAAGAAGGTGCAACTCTTGACCTTTCGGCCTTGGGCTTACACTGATCTGCTCTCGAGTTCTCCTAAAGGTCTCTTTGGTTTGCATAAGCTCGTGCGAACAGAGTAAACCTAAATTGACAACAAAACAAAAGCATAAAATGACAGAAATATTCAGGTAGAACGTCAAACAAAACTTCTTCATAAATGATACCCATTGATTTCAACGATGGAAACTTTTACTGAGAAATATAATTTATGCAAGAGGTTAGTGAAACTGGTTAATATTCCAGGTACTGATGGTGATTGTAAATATCTACAAAATTTTTTTATGAGTTGTTCTACAGAAAAGCCAGACATACTTAGCATAATAACGTTGTGCCACAACAATAGCCACTAAATCAACCTCAATATTGCCGCGAAGACAACTTGAAATTTCAGGTAACGTATAAACCTGAAATCAAAAAATGTCGAAAGTGCAATGATAAATGGATAAAACTCGATAATATAGAGCTGAAGAAGAAACCTTTCTTTTTTCAAAGACAGCAGGAAAGAGAATATCCGATGGTAAAGATTTGTAAATTGTCCATCTACTGGACGATAGCTAAAGTAAACAAGAATAGTAAGAAAAATGGGTAGAAACAATTCCATGTTCCATTAAATATTTAAGAAAAGACGGTAATCTATAGGTAGTTAGACAAAATAGCAAAAATAGGATTTCATGTTCAAAACGAAGTTACTGGGGCTTAAATTTTCTTTATAAAAAAATGTTCTAGTAGTGTACCACTGACCTGCACCATATTGCTGTCTTTAAATCTACAAAAAACAATAAAGATCACTATTCATTCACTTCAACTCAAGCCTAAAATTTTACGAATGACATTCATGCAATTTTCATAACTTACCTTGAAACCTGAAGATTATAAATTTGCAAACATTTTCCCTCTCCTAATGTTGTAATGGTTTGTTCATTTGGCTTCCATACGGTTAGCAATGCAGCTGAAAAATTTATGCATCTTCAAAATTTCGCAAAGCTCAATTAAAAACAAAGAATCCAAGGATAGTGCAGAGTTTCTGAGAAGAGATGCCTTTTTGACTCGTAGTTCAAATAAATAATAAAATGTTGCAATAGTTTATTTCATTCCTAGGTAAACTCCTTTATTTAACTTTGATTCGTGAATCATAAGGTGAACATCCATTTACTTCGTTGCAAGTAGAAAATCAGAAAAGAAAATTAATCTTCAAAGAAAATTTACATTGTGCGTACAGTGTTTTTCTTGGAAACAATGCGTTTCATCTACATTTGATAAAGATGACATCATCTATACACAGCTCATCTACATTTGATAAAGATGACATCATCCATACACAGCTCATCTACATTTGATAAAGATGACATCATCTATACACAGCTCATCTACATTTGATAAAGATGACATCATCTATACACAGCTCATCTACATTTGATAAAGATGACATCATTTATAAACAGCTTGTTGATGATATATACTTTGTAAACATAACCTCCAATATTGAAAATCATCAAATTTGCGAAGTCTACAAATTGTTATAAGTTGCTTCGATGCTTAATACACATAAATATTGCCAACAAACTTGTAAAAATTCAGATGTAAATTTCATTAAAATGAAGGCAAAACCATCAAAAGATCAAGTTGATACTGTACGTTTCAAATAGACTTAGATATCTATTTAAATCAAGGCTGCAACTTACTTTTTGGAGTTCGACTTGTTTCAGATGCAAACAAGTCGACCAATTTTAATTTTAAAACAGGTGTGACGTCTCTTTTTAATGTTTCCTGTTATAAAAATAGAGGCAACCAAAAAGATATAATCAGTCATTCATTGTGAAGAAGAAATGATATAATTTTAAGAACCCTATCACGATCAAATAGCAACTATATACAACTATGGTGTTTAATCAATTGCATTGAATGAAAAATGATGATAGAACAAACATTTTGATTACTTCTAAAATTGTAAGAGAGTGACCTGGCCTTAAGTGGTCGTTGAGTTTATTACCTGGCCGCTAAGTTCATTCCAGGCTTCCTCGTATTTTCGACGAATACAATAAGCTTGACGTTCGCATATCTCATATTTATAACGATCAAGAATTTTTCTCTGCTCAACTGAAAGATGGTTCTAAATAAAAAGAAATAAAATGCGCATGATAAGACACAATCCATAAAAATATCTGTTCAGGTTTCTTGTGCACAAAATTTCATAAAAAAATCAATGGCACGCTCTTCTCTTTATAACAAGTGTTAGCTGTTATGAACATTGAAATTTGAATAACGTAAAAGTGTAAGAGTTTATGAGAATACCGTTGCCTACCTAACATATTAAAATACAAATATTCATAATTACCTCAATAAATGTTGGATCGCTGGCATTATTAATCGCGTCGTACATATCTTTACCACTGACAAGGTTTTCAATTTGATCCACAGAAAGAAAAGTCGTTTTTTGTCTCTTCGAATCTATTCAAATACATATAAAATTTGACAAATTTCGTGTTGCACACATTAGAAATTAATATGATGAAAATATTTGTTGTCTTTCAAAATCAATAATTACTTTTTATAAGATCTGTTTCTTCACAAGATATTTCCCTTTGAACCTTCATCACAAGATTTTCTCTTTTTCGTTGAATCTCGTCTTCGAATTTCTTTGCGATACGCTCTTCGCATCTTGCGTTTCGAAAGCAACACCGACCATCAGGTAGTTTTTCCATAAACTGAATCAAATGTTGAACAGTACAAAATAAAAGTAAACTACGAAATAATTCCACACATTTCACCGTAACAAGTGTTTCATAAATAAGTATATGAGCTTAAATTTTTAAAGTTTACCTGAAGAGGATAATGTCTAGCTATGATGACCTTGAGAGAACCAATAACACCACCAAAAGGAGATACAGATTTTATAGGAATGGTGAACCTTTTGTTAGTGCAATGGAAACCTAACCTAGCAAATGACTTTGCAGGACGCGTGGAATTGCCATGAATACGTAAGAACAGGTTGCCTGGTGCCTAAATAACGATTAAAAGTTATCGCATATACATACATCGACTTATGTATAAACATTTAACTGAGTATATTCAAAGATTTTACATGAACATGTGAAACAGACATGTACAATTTTCGTACATACGTACCTCTAGAGGTGATACAGCTTGGACAGAGCCACACAGCTCAGAACCTTGTATATACAACTTTTGTCCAACATAAATTTTCTTCTCCTTCAGTAAACTGACTAAATGTTCGTCTAATTGAACACGAACAGTATACCAACCATCGGTCATAAGAATAACTTTACGTGTCTAATAAAAAATTGTTTTATCATGTATACTTAACTAAAATAAAACTTTTATTGACATTTGATGTACATGTTACTTCAAAACAATGAGATCACCTTATCGATGTTGTTTTCGCTGGTCATATTTATAGGATACTCCTCCTTTTCAAAAGGATCCATAAAGCTAGCGACACAAAGAACCATACTTCGTAAAGAACTGTCATCTCTTTCTAAGATCTTCTTAATAGCTGATCTATAGTAAATGTAAATGCGTTTATATACGTAACTGTAGAAGAACGACGAGAGTTTCTCATATAATGGAAACAACAACTATTGGATGCTTCAGAGAGGACATGATGGATGATGACAAGAGAGAGAGAGAGAGAGAGAGAGAGAGAGAGAGAGAGAGAGAGAGAGAGAGAAGTGAGATGAATATTGAAAGTGTTTTCCAAAAAGACCTTCACTCATTCCATTGCACAAAGCGTATTCTCACTATTCACAATCATAACACTGAAAGACTGAAAACAGTAAACTACTCTGCGCATGCTTAAAAATTGAAATAAAAAGGACGTAAGTTCTCTAAAGGAGTTTTCAAACAAACACACATACAACAGAACGATTCAAAAGCGAAGAACAACAAGGACATGATTAAAAGTACCGTTGACAACAGTCAATCTCTCTATCATAACGATATTTCAATTGACGAAGTACCATATCCGGCGTCAAAGCTCTATGAAAAACATATGTATTCAAGATGTTTAGCAAATTACATTATAAATAAAAAACAAGGACGTTGTATGAAGACAAAGCACAAAATATTTGAACTTAATATGAAACAAGAAATCATCTATGGTTTTAACAACATGTAAAATGTACTAAACTACCCAATACTAAAAGACATTTTTATCCCATTACTGATCCATCTATCCACTAAGTAATAATCACCTCCCCAAGAATGAGAGTGGATATTTGCGTTCATAGGAAGCTAATTTCCATATAATCATCTTATAATGATTCTCTATCCATTTATTATTGACAAGTTTCCTGTCCACGCCAGGAGATGATAAAAATGCGCTAACAAGAATGTAAAAAAATAGAATAAAGTATCATATATTTCATTTTATGCATATTCACTGTACTAAATTCTCCTTACACAAGAAAAAAAGACCTACTTAGTAAATTCCGTTAACCCAAAACATTTATCTTCTCCAAGGTAAAGAACTGCACCATCAGTACATGTAGTACGACAGTTGTTATCACGCATATTGTCACTGACAAAATGCGCTCCCTTGAAGCGATATGCCTCTGCATTATCGAACGTGATTTGTCGTAAAGCAGGATCGATTTCAGGTTTATAATCCTTAAAGAATAACAGCTTTTAAGAAGAACATATCATTTGCCTTAAAAGATTCGGTCTCATGTTATCCATTTAAGTTCATAATGTTCCCATACAAACTATGATAACTTACCAAATCAGAAGACAGTCTACTTTCCTGCAAAACGAATTGTCTAAAAGGAATCCTCAAAGTATGGTTACTTCTAAGCTTGTATATGGAACCAGGTTGTGGTCTCACTGTATTCTCCTAAAGAAATTATAACAACTAATTATATGCTCTGACAAGTTTACAAATACTTAAGTGACACGTGCCTTGTTAATAGTTCCCATTCCCTTTTTTCCATATCCAGAACGTTTTATCGATGAAGATGTTTTGAACATCGAAGTGGTTGTTTCCTGTTTACTTTTTAGTTTGTTGGTATTGTACGGCGTCACAAAATTTGAGCCACTTTTGTGATTCAATTTGCAAGCGACTGGAGTTTTCAAATCCACAAGATCATCACTAAAATGCACAATACGTAACTGTGGTTCCTATTGATTATGAAAAAACTAGCAATTATTTCAAAGAAAAACAAAATACTAGGCTTCAAAATTTGCTGTGTGAAATTTGTGTGTAAATTATTGAGCTTGAATAACAAGGACTATCACATAAAACAAGTTTGAAACAGTAGTTTACCAAAATGTTTCTTTATCTTTGACCATCACATCATGAAATATTGGAGGATTAAGAAATGTAAGCCGGGAATTAAAGTCCTTTCGATCCTTTAACGCCACTGAAAATATCAAGTTCAGTTTGATTAAATTGGAATATTTCAGAGTGTTTAAATGACTCAAAATGAGCATTCCCGTGTCGATTTGTATAAAACAACAAGTTATGTCCCCCCATTATTCTCTTACTATCTACGTGCCCCCATTACTTACTCACCATCAATATCCCCATTATTCTCTCACTATCAACGTGCCCCCATTACTTACTCACTATCAATGTCCAACCCTTATTTACTCACCATTAATGTCCCCCCATTAATCACTCACCATCAACGTCCCCCCATTACTTACTCACTATCAATGTCCCCCCATTACTTACTCACCATCAATGTCCCCATTACTTACTCACCATCAATGTCCCCAATATTTACTCACCATCAATGTCCCCATTACTTACTCACCATCAATGTCCCCATTACTTACTCACCATCAATGTCCCCCCATTATTTACTCACCATCAATGTCCTCCATTATTTACTCATCACCAATAACTCCCCATAACTTACTCACCATAAATGTGCCCCCAAAACTCACTCACCAAAAGGATCCATCTTTTTTAGTATCTTTCTTCTATTGGTAACCTATAAAAGACGAAGGCAGAAAATGCTTTAGAATTTGTATCAAGTAAGAATTTTCTTACGCATAATAAAGGAAAATACAACTGCTAATGACTTTGAAATATCATAAGGCTATTTGAATTAAATTGCTTTTGGTTCAAATGATAGTGATTTGTTGATAATTTATACTCATGTAAAATTTCTAAACACTTTAGTAAGAAAGATGCATGGATATTTCAACGAACCTCTCTGTCTTTGCTCTCTGTTTTCGAAGATGTGTTTACACAAACTGATTGAAGAAGAAAGAAAAAGATACATGATGGTTACAATGGCAAAACTATGCAACTTAGAAATGCACGAAAACTGTGAAAAACCTCATTAACCCCGAACACCACCTGTAAAAAAACCTCATTAACCCCAAACACCACCTGTGAAAAACCTCATTAACCCTAAACACAACCTGTGAAAAACCTCATTAATTCCAAACACCACCTGTGAAAAACCTCATTAACCCTAAACACAACCTGTGAAAAACTTCATTAACCCTAAACACAACCTGTGAAAACTTTCATTAATCCCATACACCACCTGTAAAAAACCTTATTAACCCCAAACACAACCTGTGAAAAACCTCATTAATCCCAAACACCACCTGTGAAAAACCTCATTAACCCCAAATATCTTCCTTCAAGTTAATGTAAAATTCCAGAACGTACCATTCTCGTCATCAGTTTCAGATAACCGTCGTTTGCAAGTGTTCAAATCACTACCCTTCTTTCCATCAATCAATTCGGCTTCAAATATTGGCATATCATTATTTTCAAAGTCGGTGGTAGTATTTCCCAAGTCAGTTTTCTTGCTCCTTATTACGTTAGCAGAATATCCATTCTTATTATCAGCTTTAGTGAGTGTCCTTCTTACTTTCTTAAACGCCTTTCGTAAATTTTTAATTGTTGCAGTCATCTTTAACAATCGTCTTTGGGAAATCTTACCATGAGTAAAAAATTGTTTAGAATCCTTTCTTTTACTATCATAGTAAATTGAATTGGAGTCAACTGACGCGACTCCTGTTCCATTCTTCACCGAGTCTTGTCCTACTTTGCTAACATCATTCAAAAGCCCTTTCGAGGGAGAACACTCGGAAGGTAACATTTCTTTTTGCGTTTCACCAATCGAAATATTTTTAATCCACTTTTTCTTTATATCCTTGCTTTCCTTCGCTTTTTTCTCATCATCAACTTTGCTCACACTTTCTTCGGTTTGATTTCTAGAATTTACAGGAGCAGAAATTTCTCTCACTTGGGAGCTAGAACACTTTCTCGTGGAAGACCTTACACATAACTTTTTTGCATTAGCATTGATCATTGTTTTATTTAATTCTTCATGTTGCTTTTCAAAATTCCGGTCGTCTTGGTCATTCATTTTCAACTTATTTTTACCTTCTTTCAAAGATTTTTCATCAACTGTCACCTCCTTTCCTGACGCAGCAGCAAAAACAAATTTTGAAGATTTGTCAGCTGGCGTTAGCAACAGAGAGCTACCTTGTTCTTTATGACTTGATTTGCTCTCTGTATGAATCTCCTCGTGATCCACACTGTTCAAGATGCTTTGAGCTTTTTTCAAAGACTTTTCAGACACGCTAATTCCCTTTCCTGAAGCAGTAGAAAACACAAATTTTGAAGATTTGTCAGCTGGCGTTAGCAACAAAGAACTACCCTGTTCTTTATTATTTGATTTTTTTTTATGAATCTCCTCGTGATCCACACTATTCAAGATGCTTTGAGCTTTTTTCAAAGACTTTTCAGACACGCTAATTCCCTTTCCTGAAGCAGTAGAAAACACAAATTTTGAAGATTTGTCAGCTGGCGTTAGCAACAGAGAACTACCTTGTTCGTTATTATTTGATTTGCTCTCTGTATGAATCTCCTCGTGATCCACACTGTTCAAGATGCTTTGAGCTTTTTTCAAAGACTTTTCAGACACGCTAATTCCCTTTCCTGAAGCAGTAGAAAACACAAATTTGGAAGATTTGTCAGCTGACGTTAGCAACAGAGAACTACCCTGTTCTTTATTATTTGATTTGCTCTCTGTATGAATCTCCTCGTGATCCACACTATTCAAAATGTTTTGAGCTTTCTTCAACGACTTTTCAGACACGCTAATTCCCTTTCCTGAAGCAGTAGAAAACACAAATTTTGAAGATTTGTCAGCTGGCGTTAGCAACAGAGAACTACCTTGTTCTTTATTATTTGATTTTCTTTTTTTACGAATCTCCTCGTGATCCACACTATTCAAGATGTTTTGAGCTTTCTTCAAAGACTTTTCAGACACGCTAATTCCCTTTCCTGAAGCAGTAGAAAACACAAATTTTGAAGATTTGTCAGCTGGCGTTAGCAACAGAGAACTACCTTGTTCGTTATTATTTGGTTTGCTCTCTGTATGAATCTCCTCGTGATCCACACTGTTCAAGATGCTTTGAGTTTTTTTCAAAGACTTTCCAGACACGCTAATTCCCTTTCCTGAAGCAGTAGAAAACACAAATTTGGAAGATTTGTCAGCTGACGTTAGCAACAGAGAACTACCCTGTTCTTTATTATTTGATTTGCTCTCTGTATGAATCTCCTCGTGATCCACACTATTCAAAATGTTTTGAGCTTTCTTCAACGACTTTTCAGACACGCTAATTCCCTTTCCTGAAGCAGTAGAAAACATAAAATTTGAAGTCTTGTCAGCTGGCTTAGTATTTCCTGAAGCGAAGCCAAAATTCAATTTTGAAGCCTCGTTTGACGTATCAACCTGTTGGGAGTAATTACTCTCAATATTTCTAATATGGCTTAGTGAATTTCTTACAATACATCTTTGTCCATTCTCGACAGCATATGTTTCGGATCTGCAAACTTCGCCAAACAATTTTGTGTCTTGCAACATCGACTTTTCTGAAATATTCACATTTGTTCCATTGGCAGTAGAAAATCCAACAAATGACTTCGATGAAGCATCATTTTGCATTTCATTATCCACAATTTCATCTTCAACATTTGAATTTGAATAAGTTACCGCTGCCATCATTTGTGACAAATCAAAATCTACAGGAAATTCACTTAAAGCATCCATATTGAACTGTAAATCATCACAGCCTTTCTTATTATTTGCTTCAAATGATTGTTTCACTGTATAATTCGTACTAATTACATCACTCGAATGAACTGATTTTTCTTGGGGACAAACAGCTAACTCGCTATTCACAGAAATATTTTCCATGAAGTAGTTAGATGTATCTACCTGCATGTTAGTTAAAGTGTTTATGTCGGTAAAATCATCACAAATTTTGTCATTCTCATCGTTTGTTTTCCTCCTTTTCTTTTCATTGATTTTAAGCTTTGGCGACTGAACCAGTCCATGTTTAGGGAGAAAATGATTGTCTGTTATGAGACCAGGAAAATTGATTGGATCACTTTCTTTTGATGAGCGGGCAACATTACTTTGAGTTAAAAAGCATTCTGCCGGTAATTCGCTCAAATTCTCCATATCAAATTCTTCATCTTTGGGCTTATTTTCAATACAGTTCAATTGATCACGAGCAAAATGATGTCTTAATGAAGTGGTACAAGATGCCTTGTCAAGACACTCATTAATATTGCTTATATTGGAATCAGGATTCTTTTTTGCCACACATTTGCTATTCGATTTATGACTTTCTTCTTCTCTATTTGATTTAGAAATTTTTGGCTTTTCCTGATAAATTGTTGGTGACAACTCGAACAAAGTTTCCGTTTTCTCTTTATCGATGGTATCAAGTCGCTTCGCACCATTCCCTTCCTCAAGTAAGCAAACGCGATTTATTTCCTCCAATTCTTTACTGATATCGCCAAAGTCATCGGGTGTTAAGAAAATTTGTTTATCAACGTCTTTAGTTAAAGTATGAGTAGTTTCGACGATCTCTGACTCATTAATGATACATGATACATTTACAATCGCCAATTTACCATCAACAGGATCGACACAAGTTCTTTCATCATCATCAATTTCACATGTTTCTGTAATGTGTAATTTTTCATTAGAAAAATTGACACGAGTTCCTTCGTCATCAATTGCACGTGATTCTGTGATGTTTAATTTTTCATCAGAAGAATTGACACAAGTTTTTTCATAAATTGCACATGATTCTGTGATGTTTGATTTCTCATTAGAAGAATTGACACAAGCTTTGCTATCAATTTCACATGATTCTATCACGTTAAATTTTCCATTAGAAGAATTGACACAAGTTCCTTCGTCCTCAATTGCACATGATTCTGTTATGTTTAAATTTTCATCAGAAGATTTGAAACGAGTTCCTTTGACATCAATTGCACATGATCCTGTGATATTTAATTTTTCATTACAATATGTCGTGATATCACCTGCTCCGCCAAGTTTCCATTCGTTAGAAGCACAGTTAATACGAATCTCATTTTCCTTAATTTCACTAGCAGTAACAATCTTTGATTCACTTTCTTTATCAAGTTCATCATTTTTGACAAATTCTTTCTTTTTCTTATTATCACTGAAACCATTTCCGTCAGGTTGATCTGGTAGAATCACGGTCGAGAACTTTTGCATTTCTGTTGAACAAACATTAAGAAAAAAAAATTTCATTGCATTACATATTAAAATATGTTAAAATAAAATGTAGAAAAACGATATGTGATATGAACAATTAAATATTGTGCAAACCATTGACTGGGGATGAAAATGTTTCAGCAACAAAACAAAGTTCATTAACAGCTTTTTCTTGCAGTGGTGAAAGTGAAGACATATCAAAGACTTTAACACCTTTTTATAAACTCCAGACAATTCGGTTTGAATATAACGTTCTTTTATTGTGGAGTTATTATGACTTTTATATGATCATCACTTTCATCTCCGTTTGTCATAGGGGAGGCAAGTGATAAGTAATCAACAGTATTTTCTGTTATGTTGCCTTCGTCATCAGTCGCTTTTCTTTTGAACAATATTCTGGCCACAGCCTAAAATATTTTAGAAACGTGTCATTACATATATCAGCGTCATGAAATGAAAAATAAATCTTTATTGCTAATCTTCAGTATTTTTACATAACCATATTTTATTGAAAAGTAGAATGTCTTTTCTATGCGCAGTCCCATATTGTAGAAATATAGTTACGTATAGAAATTCAATTGTAAAAATAGAAACCATGCCTTGGTGACAAATTTAAAAATTGTTTTAGAAAAAGAAAATACCATAGTAAAAGTCAAAATAAAACGAAATAGTTCTTAAAAGAACTGTTTAAAACCAGAACACTAACCAAACAATTCTAAAAGAATTCTAAAAGAATGCAGAAAGCTTTAAAAACAGTTCTTCTTAAAAAAAGATCTTTTAAACATACATACTTTTCTTTTTCTATTTGATGAACTGTCGCCTTTTACAGCATCTTCTTTGTTTTGCAAGTTTTCGTGATTTACAATCATAGATTTCTCTAAAAATGAATGAGCTGTACTAGTGGACAATGGAAACTGTGTGTTAGAACATTGGTAAGAACACAAGAAAGTTCCTCCAACTAAGCAGTTTAGGATGCCACATTCAAAGTAGGACATTGAAGAAAATCACTAAAGTGAAACCCATCTTAATTCATGTATAGAGTAAAGTTATGATGTAATGTTCATTGATTGAAAAATAAAGCTACCAGAGAGCTCTGTTCCATGCTTCGAATTATTTTAGGAAAAATATCGGAAATATCTAAAATCCAACTTAATGATACCAAAATGTGTACATTTGAATGTCAAGCATGTAAAAAATCAACACTCTCCATGTCCTCTTTTATTATGTTCAGGTAAATAAAATTCTTTGTTAAAAAAAACTTACCATGTGAAACACATTCTTTTTCTTTGCTTGTATTCAATTTAACAGAATGGCATTTAAAACCAGAAGTAAAGGTGGCGTAGCAAGAGAGCTGCTCCAAGAAAAATTCATTTGTTCAATAGGATCCATTGAAAGGTGAGCTGAAAACTAAATTTAAATGTTAAAAATAAGACAATTATACTTTACATATACAACAATATAGTAATAAACATGTATGTACATAACAAAAAAGGTCAATTTTGCAAACATAAATATTTTAGATACTTATTAATAGATGATAAATATATACCTTGGGGCTCTTTGCTTGGTGATTAAATGGTGTAAGATTCTGTATTTTATCAAGGGATGTATTCAATTGAGCACTTATGTGTCGTGACTTAGGGGTTCTTGTGGATTGAATAAAATTAACAAATTTTCCAGGAATTGGAGTTGAGGTTGATGGTGCTACAAATTAAATGAGAAGCAAGCTAGTATGTACATTGAAAACTGCATCTAGTTTGTAGTACATTGAAAACTACACAATATACTTATGCAACATCACAACAGGACTTATTGATGAATTTCTCACCTTGACGGACAATATGTGGTGATGGAGAAAATAAAGAAGGAGAGTCATTTGAAATGTTGGATTGATTTTTGGTGACTGGTGTTTTGATTTTATTTGAAAATTCCTTCTGGTTGCAACTTTGGGATCCCCTAAAGAAGTCTTTTTCACATAAGCTGTCTCCATTTTTCAGCTTTTCATTCACTTCTCCCAGTACTTTGAATGAAAAAAAATTAATGACATATAACATATGAAAATCAATCAATCATGAAAAAATACATCAAATCATCAAATGAAACTGTAATTCCTAAAAAGGTCTTTAACAGGCATGCGGATAACTTAACATCTATTTTCAAAATTGGTTTTAATTTGTATTTTTAAAAATATTACTATATATAATTAACAATCTGACAGATCTTTTGTTTCATTCAAACAATACCTACAGAATTAAAGTGCAAAGTGCAAATATAGGGATGGGGTATCAAACAATTTTATTTAGGTTATAAACACATGTCTTTGATAGCAGGTGTGATGGAGATGGCGTCAATTACGTGGCATGTAGCAACTGCACCAGTTTAGGTTTTGGTTATGAATAAGTCAAAGTATGAAGTAAAACAACGTTATACAAACAAAAAATTAGCATATTCTACCTTCTGGGCAACTACTGTGAAACAAATCGGTCCAAAATCCATCAGAAAGTTTGAATCTGTTTTCAAATACATTTTTCAGCATATGCTCATGGTTAGTACTCCATTTATTGGAGTAATCGGTTTCTATTTCCTTTTCCATTGTTTATAATAATCCCCTACAGAAGCCAGAGCAACAAGAACTTGACGTTGATGCCATTTTGTTCGCGTTTTTGCTTTTGAGTTTCGCGCGGCCGGGGTGTGACGGGTGTTAACGAACGAGTATGTCACGATTACTTTACGTATACGAACGATACATCGTCGATGATGGGTTTACATTTTTACATTACTGTGATAGTTGCGTAACCAGATCTTTTTTATGTAATGTGTGCTTACAACAAGATGTCATTTTTAGATTCTTCGTTTATTTTATTCGCTTAAAATGATTTCTTTGCAAAGAATTTCATGTAAAATCGATTGTGTTCATCTTCCCATTGCAAGAATTTTAGCTTGCACGTGTCAGCCTAGCACACTTTGTAGGGGAGGACCTTCATCGTGTGGTCCTTTTATCTTGCGCAACGTTTCCAATATACCATCCAGTACGTCAATCAAACACGATGAAAGTTTCGGGAGAAAGGCTTTAAAGATGCTTGGTTGGCTTGGTGGGTTTTATTCCAGAAAAGCAATTTTAACGCGAAGTGCCAAAGTTATGTATGAATGTTGTGTTGAAGACGTAGAGTTTGAAAAATTTTATGATGCAGCCGGAATGCCCGACACATTTCAGTCGTGGTTTCTTATCAATCAACTGCATGTTTGGATGTGTTTGGTTCGGCTCAAGCCTGAAGGTAAAGATGGACGATATATGTACAGACGAATGGTGCAGATTTTTTGGGAAGATGTAGAAGAAAGAATGAAAGTTTTGGGGGTATGTTTGTCATCACTATATGAATACAGAAACAAGAAACCTGTAAAATATGAAACATTCATACACAAATTTCATGACAATTCAATTTTTGTTTTAATTGTTTATAGGTTGTTGATCCCAGTGTGCGAAAAAAGAACTTGAAAGAACTAATGCAGGAATTTTACGGCCTAATCTTAGCCTATGATGAAGGGCTTTTATCTCATGATTGTGTTTTGGCAGCATCAATATGGAGAAATATGTTTCATAACAAGAAAGATACTAATGCTTCAAACCTTGCAAAGTTTGTTGAATACGTAAGAAAACAAGTATATCATTTGGAAAATATTGAATCAGAAAGACTGCTTACCTCTGGTGAAATTAAGTGGTTGTCATTTGATTAAAATGACTGTAAAAAATCTTCATGTGTCTCTTAATGCATTATGGGACTTGAAACAACAACATTTACACTAACATATTGTATATTTGTAATAATATATGTATTAATTTGTTATTGTATGTAGTTATTTCTGTATTCTTTGTGGGATTGAAAGCACAGAAAGAAACCTTTGATGGGGCCAATTATCACAAATTTAACAGTTTAATTATGGTCAGAAATAGCCATGTTATTTATTTATAAGTATCCCAGTTATACGTAGAAATCTTTTTGTTTTTAAAGTGTTTGTTAACTTTCTTTTTTCTTTCTAAAATCTTATCATTGTCAGACTTTGCATTCAACTCTTGAAAATTTCCTTATAATCATATCTAAAGATCTATTTGGCTCTGTAAATTTCCGAAAAACTCGACTTTTTAACAAAAATTTGAGGATTAGAGCAAGTTAAATACATTGTCAAACCCTGTGAAAAGACTAAATTTAAAAAATAACTATCAACTTTCGTGTTCATTTAAAATTTGCTTCTTTGCAATTTATGCTTGATTGTTTTTACTTCAAAAAACATTTTTACAGCAAAAACCCGTTCCAAACCGTTTTACATTCAACAATGGAGTCAGGATGATTTTCAAGGTGGGTGGAGAGGGTGCTTTAGTTTTTGTCAAAATTTCAGTTTCTTCTTTCGATATCGCCAAGCTGATTTCAAACTTTTTTGTTAATTTCTGTCACTATTATACCATGGTGGAGAGATGTTCTTAGAAAGTATACTCTATTAAACACAAATCATAAATTGCTTTGGATTAAGTCCTATGTAGATTAATATAGCGTTGGGGAATTTTGCACCCCTCTTTCACTTTGTATTGTTTAGAATTCAACTTTATAACTGTTAAAATATTTTGAGAAAATGATATAAAATGAATGTTTACTGAATTCAAACAGTGTTGCAAAACATTTCAAATACAGGTATTGTTTCTTGTAGGCATAAATAGAAAATAGCCCAAAACAATCATCACGGTCATTGTTTTTTGTATGACAAATCTAAGAAGACGATGCAGTTCTTGTAATATATCACCCGAGCGTTGTAATTTTAACAAGAAAACCGGCCATTTGGTTCAAAATTCAAGTTTTGAAAACCAATTTCGTGCATATCCTCAGGTTTTGTAAAGTTAATGATGCTAGCTCTTGAAATATAAAAGTATGTTACCCTTGACAAGAAAAAGTACTTTACAATCATGATCTAGTAGTATAGTTAACTCCACGATTTTCCCAGTCCATATGATATGAATGAGAAAAATCTTCATAAAAATCACTACCAGTCACGTGGAACTGGTCTCCATATATTGTATTTTATTATGGTAAATGGAGTGATTGATTCAATTTACAACAATACCCATGGATAATAGAAGTTGGTGATGGGAGAGGAGGAATTGGTTCGGGTTAGTTAGATATGTATGCTGATATGTTGTAATCTGTAATCGCAATTGATTTCAATAGAAATCTGGCCGACCCTAGTTCGCAGCGATTACTTTTTATTTTGAAGCCTCTTTCAACTGTATGTTTGTGCACAAATCTCTCAACTACATCCAAAATAAACTTCTTCCTGCTCTTTGAAAATAATAATTTTAACTCAATTATAAGAATGCATCGCTACGCTCACTCCTTGAAAATCTGCCATATTTGATTTATCAATTGTAGTTTTACCCAAGACGTCTGGGGTAAAAATTGCCTCAAACGTTGGGGGCAATTTTTACCCCAGACGTAGGTATTAATTTTTACTCCCTACTTTGATTTACCCCATTTTTTGTCTACCCCGTCTTAAAGGTAAAGAAATTCTCCCATATTTTGGTGTAATTATTACCCCAGAACACCAAAAACCGGGCAATTGTTTTAGTCTTTTTCATTACCCTATTAAATGGGTAAATTGTTATACCTTGATTTGGAATTACCCTTGAAATAGGGGTAATTATTACCCCACATTCGTTTTTCTCACTGACAGGGGTAAAAATTACCACAATTTGGGGTGATTTTTGCCCCCTGAAATTTACTGCGTAATAGGAAAGACTTGCTTCGTAAAAATTGGTCCTGTGTTATATAGTTATGGCAAAGTATCTTTTTTCGTCATTTTAAGCGTTTTTGTCGAGTTTCTAGTCCATAAACTGAAAACAGATTTCTTTTAGATTTAGATAATCACGCACGTAAATTTATCAAGCACGTATTACGTGGCTGACTGTCAGGTTTAATTTGTGAAAGAAACAGTTGCTTAGCACTATAGAATGGGCAGGAAGATTACCCCAAAGTTAACTAATATTTATATCTAGTTCTATTGTAACATGGTAATTTAATTAGCATGTTATTTTTTAAACAGATATATAAATAAAGGTTGAAGATGAAAAGAGCATATAACTCAGAAAGCAACTTTGGTGTATTTGTGAAACATTAACTGAAAGGTTTGTGCACACATGTTAATGTAATTATATAAATAATAAACAATTGCTTTGTCTGACATGCTGCTTTGGAGTTCAGCATTTGAATCTGTTATCTTATGAAACGATAAAATTGCTAGAGCTAGAGAACTGAAGTTTTGAAATCTTCAGAAGTCAGTAGCTATGTCTTTATTGTGTACGTAGATATATAAACTATTATTTGAATAGAAACTCTAAAGTTAAGTCAAACTATAATATTAGAAATCTATATAAAAATGCGGCATAGTCTGTTTCATAAACGTCAATGATCAAAGACCGAGCGACATAACTGTCTCAACAACAAGAGAACAAATATTTTGGATTATTTTCTAATGCTTTTACCATTGGTAGCTAATTTTTAGTCGTAGAATTAACCGTTGTCTATAGCTGCATGGCTATATGCCAAATTTCATTGCAGCAAATGCTATAGTCCATAGCATTAGAGTTGAAGTAGATGCAACACAATAGACTACACTATGGTGATAGAGAGAAAGAACATAAAAATGTGGTATTACAATTCTAGCAAAACGGTATGTTAAAAAACTGTTTGAAAGTTGAAATAGTTTTGGTTATTGATTGACTTACATAATAGTATAGTCCAGAATAGAGAAAAAGTCACATTAACTTCATCAACTTCATCAAAGATTTTATTTGATAAAAAAAATTTTAACTATTCTGTTTTCATTAAATCGTTCTGTTTTGCTGAAATTGAAAATGCTGTGTATTGTATTTTAATATATTTAATTGTCTACGCTATACTTAAATACTGCCTTCATATTTTACTGCTCAACTATGACGAAAATTTGAAGCTTATAGCTATGAGCGATTAGATAATATCAAGATAACCTATCATAAGATTTTCCATTATGAAAAGCACCGATGTAGCGATAATTTAATAATCTCTATTCATTTTTATTAACAGAGTAGCGTAGACAGATCGTTTATTTAGTCATGCCATGCAAATTTTCTCTGTTGACTGAAAGCAAAAATAATAGATTTTGAAAAAAATAAATAAAGCTAATGATCTAAAAATTGACTTAAAATGTATGCACTGTTTTATTGATCTCGTCAGGAAGTATGCTAGAAGACGGTTACCCAGTTTAGAAATATTATTAAATCCATCAATGCAGTGTGATATGGATTTTCTCAGCTGTTTTAAAATATGGTCAAAAAGCCTTTTTTGACAAAGCTATAACTACACAAATCTAACATATATACGTTATAATAAATATTTTTTTGCTTTTGATTAATGGTTTTAACTCAGAAGTATCGTCACATGTTTGTATGTGTTGATTACTCAAATTAGTGCAATTCTGTAATGGATTGTTGGTGCTAGTGTTAACTGACGTTTTGACAACCTAGCATGGTTATGTCTTCAGAGTCATTTTCATTTTCTCTTGGCTCTGAAACTAGCGCTAAGAAAGTCGACAATATAAGATAAAATTCCTATAACTTTATGACAATTTCCCCTAACCCGAGACTTATTCATGAATTGTGTTCTAAAACAAAAAATAACGGCAATAAATATGTGTTTATTAAAGAGTAATGAGAAATCTGAATAACATCGTGTAGAAAATGCTTAACCACAAGTTTACCCAAATAACGAAGTCAGTTTAAGATGAACCTTAGATGACGAAAAATGAAGGAACAAGTGTAACAAATTAGATCGTTGAAGATTAGTTTATTGTTATTCAATCATGCTTTTTCTCTCAACCGTTCAATAGCAAACTGGAATTATATCTAATTGAAACTATTAGCTAGAAAATCTCGATATGGCGAAAAAAATAATAACATATCGTTACATATGCGATTAATAATTAAAATATATTTACATAACAATAGTTTGTAGCTACTTGAATAAGATCAATATGACAAATTGGTCGATCACACACACACACAAACTTGTGCAATACAGATGACAAAGAAAATTTCGGTTCGTCTAAAGATGTCATCACATTTCACAAATGTTTTCTATAATTCACAGAATAGCAATTACTTGGTTTGTTTGGTCAGACAATCTTAAATATTTAATTAATTTTCTTCATTGTTAGGGAACATTATAGATATCATATGTGGCAAACGTACGTGCACACTTCTTTTTTACTGACTAGAATTTGCTGCTCAATAATCTTAATGACGTATAAATGTAAAACATATCTTAATGTTATAGATAAATAATGAAGTCAAATAGATATAGAAATTCTTCGTTCAAAGTTCTGTTATGGCTGTTGTATTTTGCGCATAGTGGATATGGAAAATGTGATTTAAGGTAAGTTTACAAGTTAATGTTTTTGCCTTGTTAAGCTCAGCTGATGTTTCTTTTAAGACAAATATGATTGAGTGATTTTATAATTCGATAAAAACTACTTTGTCCATGAGGTGTCTATAATCATTCTTGCAGGTGAAACAGGTTGACGTTCGTTTACTTTCGAGTTTTTATCAAAACTACAGGACAGAACATCCCTCTGTAAAAACCCTCAAAATTTCATACATATCTTCCCGAAATAAGTAACTTGATAAGAACAAAATAACTGAACAATAATATAATCCAAAGTAATGCCAGTTTCCCAAGCTCTGCAACAGACCTTAAGAACAGTTGTATAGGCATGCAAGCCCCAAAATCATATATCTAGCATTAGTTATATATTTTACTGATGCCTTTCGACAAATAATAAGTTGGGAAAGATTCTCCGAAAAGGGGTAAATGTTAAATTGAACTCAGTAATAAAAAATCTATGTATGAAAATCAGAATAAAATAAAGAAAAAAAAAGAACTATGCACATGCATTGTTGCCCGTGACTGTGATCTTTGATCGCTAAATTACCAGATATATTATTGGATTGGCACTCTCATTTCTGATGAAACAGTTTGATTTAGATAACAAAATCAAATTATCACTGAGCAGTCAGCAACATGCTTTAGCTCATTCAGTGATACTGATCAAAGATCTTTGCTTCTCGGCTTGTACGTTGGTTGAGTACTGCATGTGGATTATTTTGTTATTGTCCTTGTTATGGTCCTGCTGTTGTTGCATGATAAAAATTCATTGTTCATACAACAAAAACAGCAAGGGGGGGGATGGTATCAAATTAGTAATTACAAAAAAACAGGCAACGCAAAAAATATTTTTATTCAACTAAAAACTGAAAATGGCGATAATATTGCTCAATTTAATCTATTTTCCAGGAAATCTGGAGCTAACATGAACGCAACAACTTGCCTAAATGCATTATTACGTAATTACGACAAAAGAATCCGACCATCTATTTTTGGTAAGTGCCAGAAATGTAGCTAAACTTTGCGTTATTAAGGTAAGGTAAGCTTTCCTAAGGTAAGCCCGAGTTTAAAATTCGGATTTCCTCACTTTTCTGTTCTGTCGCGAGGTTACATAAATCACGCGTGACCGACAGGAAGTCCTTTAACCAATCAAAATTTTTCTTTGATCGTTTAACGCGCGAGTGTCACTAATCACACGTATAATGAAACACGATTTTCTTACTTGTAAGTAATGTATTGTCACCTGTGAGATTCTATTGTCGTGAATTTCCTTGTGCTATTTGACAAGTAATATAATACGCAAATATCAAACACTGTTCTTGACTATCCCAAGTGAACGCCTGACAGGCGTCTTGCTCTATTTGCTGTTATATGACCTGCTTTATACATACTCAGTCGATGCTGTCTTGGTTGTTGATCGATTTTCAATATGTATTTTGTATGCTTACAGAAAAAACCACTGTTGTAAATGTGGACATTCTTATTGCAAATTTCTGGACGATTGAAGAAGCTAATATGGTAAATCTCGAACAATCAGTTATCACCAACACGAAATTGGCTTTAAAAATTCACATTCAACATTTTTCCTTTTGGTGTAAATTTGATTTTCCTTTCTTAGTGCTCTTTCTCCATTTTTTCTACTCCTAACATTATACACATTTTCACATTACTGCTCTTAGGATTTCACTGTAGATTTTTATCTCCGTCAATATTGGACAGATGAGCGTTTGGCATTTCAATCAGACGATAAAAACCAGAAGTTAACATTAACCAGTGACATCTGGAAAGAAATATGGATTCCAAGCACATATTTTATTGGTAGCAAAAAAGCATACTTTCACGATGTCACAACAGACAATTACTTATTACAAATCAATGTAAATGGATCAATTTTCTTTAGTATGAGGTAATGTTCAAACTATAACAATTTGCTCTTAAATGAACGACGATTAAATGCCATAAAAGCCATGGCATACAAATCACTCAGATTGCGATAAACCATTGCCGTAGAAACATGATTAGTAGGGAGTTTTAGCAAGAGTACGACTACGACTACGAGTACGAAATTTGACCGTGTAAGAGAATGGCACGAGGAAGTTTGTTGTCGTTGTCGCTATGTCAAAATTTTGCTTTAGTTGTAAACAATAGAACGAGCCTTTTTATTGTGTAAAACACCGACGTTTGCGAAGTAGCTACGGCTTTATTTTTCAATAATGATATCAAAGAATCGATAATACTGGTTTTACAAGAATATAGGACTCTTTAGACTGAAAAATCTTCACTATTTTAAGTTTTATGTACGATATATTTGTACTATTTTATTGTTTGTTTACCTTTCACTTTGCGTACGAAATACATGAAAGTTTTGCAGGTCATATTTTCCTTTTTAATGAACATCTGCGCTCAAAAAGGGTTCTAAATTAAAGCCTGGATGCTCGAAAATAGTACTGTAAACTAATTTCTTACAGAATGAAGACATATACCTACTTTCTTTGCTTAAAAAGACATCGTAGTCGCGACTACGAATTTTTTACAAAACATCGTACTGAGATTGATGACGGTACGTGTTTTTGTTGTCGCAACAATGTTTTCGCGCCAAAATGACGTAAATCGTACTCGTAGTCGTACTCGTAGGCTCTGCTAAAACTCCCTAGTGATGGCGGCTCAAAAGCAATCCGCCAAAAATGCGCAAAGATACGAGCCTTTCTTTAAAAGTTTTAGTCATTCAACTCTTTATAATTCATATTGCTGTATTTAGAAAGCTAATACGACAAAAAACAGCAGATGAATTAATTGTACGATGAACGCACTTCAACGCAGTATCTACCAAGTTGAGGGATTAAGTTGAGAAACTGAATGATTTAATATTCTTCCGCACCATAACAAAAAAAAAACATACTGCAACTGCAAAGTGCAGTTGCACTGCCTTCATTTCGAGACTCAATTAAAAAATCTTACTGTGACTCCTCCCTCCCCCCTCCCAAACTATATTTGTGCATACTGTAAATACAGCAGCATTAGCAATTGTGATTTTTTGTTGTTGCGTTAGGGTAACCGTTACCACATCGTGTCGTTTACGATTTCATAATTATCCTCATGACAAGCAAACTTGTGCATTGAATTTGGAAAGTTGTGAGTAAACAAAATATGCATTTATTTTATTAAGTCCGTTAGCAGAGCCACTAAATGTTTCAGAAAAAACCGTGGACGAAAGCCCATTTTGATTTTATCAGTACGTATCAAAATACTGTTAAGCGGGCAATAGTTTGGTTGATGAACGATTGATGCATATGACTTTTGTTTGAACTGTGCATTTTCTAAATAAATAAATAAACGCTCTAAATAATGAAATCCACGTAAGCTAACGAGATTCTCTCCTTTATTTAAAATTTATTTGACATCAACAAGACGGCTACAAACTAGAAGATGCAGTCTACTTTTGGAACAGAAGAATGGATAACACATCTGAAGTTGTCATTCCTAGAGATCTTAGCTTCTTACAATACGAAATGATAGACCTTGTCCTTACTGAAAAGAATAACACGTACAATTCTGGTATACTTGAATTCCTATAGTCCATAATTCATATCTTATGCTAGATATGTTTATCTGAAAATTATCCCTTGCAGGCAATTTTTCCTCTCTCAAAGTAACATTTCACTTAAAGCGTAGAATAGGATTTTTCATAATCGAGACATACATCCCATCATGCATCATTGTTGCACTAAGTTGGATCTCGTTTTGGATACCACCTGACTCGGTTCCAGCTCGTGTCGCACTAGGGATCACAACAGCGCTAACAATGGTAACGATAAGCGGAAATGCAAGAGCAGAGTTACCACGCGTTAGTTACGTAAAGGCAATTGACTGGTACTTACTGACATGCTTGCTATTTGTGTTTGGGGCAATGTTGGAGTATACACTCGTGAATATTTGTAAGTGAAAAACAGAAAATTTGAGAAGAGAAAAAAATTTGAACATGTGGTGGGTGCCATAATTCAGTAAGAATATATTGTGTAATGTTAAATACTTTTAAATTCACGTATCGTTGTGATTTTCCATATTATTTCAAGGAAACTGGTACGTACAATATAGAAAAGTTGGAACTTGATAGTGATTGGCTAGATTCTAAAGAGGACAATAATGCAAAGCCCAATGGCAACAGCTTGATGAAGAATGTAAGTAAAACTATCACAACATAATACAGAGTTGTTTTGCCAACACCTTTATCCTTCATCTGGTCTATGAAATATCAGTGTGACAAAGTTGGGCAAGCCTTTCATTAAGCTCACATTCGTCAACCAGAAACAAACAGCCCACTCATAATAGATCATTTGGGAATAAACAAAGGAAAATGCAACATTTCCGTGAAAAGGCCATTTTACTTCTTTCATTAATGAATGACACAGGAATACAACGCAGTTTCAACGAATATTTTCTCTTTTTATACTTCCATCTAACACAATTTTCTCAACCTTTAGAATGGAAGTTTCATTTTGCGAAAGAACCAACGTCAATATAGCAGTCGTAACGATAGAAACGATATGACAAAATTATTTAACAAAAACGATTACCCAATAATTGTAGCAAATCCAGTAAGCATAGATAGATACGCAAGGGTTGCATATTTAGTTCTTTTCATCTTATTCAACACGTTATACTGGAGTGTTTTTGTGTGGCTTGAGTGAACGGGTTCAACAATATGTTTATTTGCAACTTGGCCATAACTCAAGAATGACAAAGTAATGTAAGTTTCCAAAGTATAATAAATGTTTCCTCCAAGAACGTTTTTAAACAAATATTAACCAAAAGAATTAGTGGAATATATATTTTTCCATAAAACTGTACTATCTAATAAAAACTTCAGGTAAACGAAAGTCAAGATGATCATTTTTTAATCACTAGGAAGTCTATCTCAATGTTCTGGTTATAAGAAAAATATCAATGTCACACAAATAATAGACTGTCAGTAAGAGAAAAAGACAATTCTTACTAACAGGGTGAAGAGGATAAATAATGTCATTCGATTATTTTGGTTTTGACATTGTGCACTAAAATAGATTATATTATCGCAATGATTGCAATAATTTGAAATGTTTCAAATATCAGCCATTCTCAAATGTTTCAGATATATGTGTTCAAAATTAAAATTATGTTTTTATGCACCACTCGTATGCATTTTGAAACATTCTCAACCACGGTGAAGACTCTAAGGATCTCCATTCCTGAGGCATCCACGCCCACTGCCAGAGATTGGTGCATCGCTCTGGGTGTGGCATTAAAGCAAGATGACGGCCATCATCTGAACACAAGGCAGCAATACCACAAGGGGATCCATTAGGATTAAGGGGGTATTCCATGGTCACTTTACCATTGTCATCAACATACCGTATAGGAGCCAGATTACGTTGCAAGATATCAGCGAGTACCTGATCATTTTTAAATTGTGCTTTTCCTTCTCCATGTGATACCCAAACACCCATGATCGATCCTTCCATACCACGGAGCATTATTGAGACGCTTTCCTCAATCTTCACGGTAACGAAACGCGATTCAAAACATTCTGAATCGTTATGAGTAAAACAAGTTCCCTGCTCATACTCGCTATCCGCCATCAAATCTTTTCCTACCCAACCAAGGATTGCCATTAACTGACAGCCGTTACAAACACCAAGACTAAACGTGTCTTTCCGTTTAAGAAAGGCAGAAAATTCTTTCTGACATTTTTCATTAAACAACGAGACTGCGGCCCAGCCTTTGGCAGAACTCAAGACATCAGCAAAACTGAAACCACCCACAAAAACTACACCTTGAAAATTTTCTAACGTCACCTGACCAGAGCAAATATCCTTCATGTTAACATCCCACGCTTCAAATCCAGTTTGCATCAAACAAGCAGACATTTCACGATCACCATTGCTTCCTTCTTCACGAATGACGGCAACTTTGGGTGGGTTTCTCTCACTCTTATTTCTAAATATGGAAAAATATACACGACAGATATTACCAGAGTTATCCTTGACAACAAAATTGCACACACTTATTTAAAAATCTAATGCCTTACCTTTGCGGTGTTTCTGTAGGGATGAAAGATAAATAATATGGAGGTGCTTTTCTCTTGCTGAGATTTTTCTGTTCAACATCCACGCACTTTGGATTAGATTGATATCGTGCAAGTTGGAAACTGGTATCTTCCCAAATATCTCGAAGTGACGTCATCTTTTCCTCCAATACAACACAATCATCAATTGTAATTGTAATGGTGACGTCAGAATCATTAGCAGTTGTTGTTCTACCAATTTGCTCACAAACAACATCAGCATTCACGTAAGCTTCACAAATACAGTTTACATTATTTTCAGATACCTCAAGCACAAAACCAAGTTCTTCAGCAAAAAGAAGATTTAAAGCAATATTTTCATCTTTGCTACATTGTGTTAAGTGACTAGAGTCGATACTAATGTTTAGACCGCAGTTTCCAGCAAATGCCATTTCCAGTAGTGTGGTTACTAGACCGCCATCGCTGACATCGTGACCAGATATAATCAATCGTTTGGCTATGAGATCTTGTGTTACAGCGAAACATTTGGAAAATTTCTGTGAAATAAAAAAATGGGTTTTGTTGTATGATGAAACAACAAACATTGCCATTATTAACTGAAAAGTTGTGAGAACTTCATCTTTTCTAAATGCAAAAAATGAGCACAATCACCTTGCAGTGACCATTTAAAAACCATTTGTATCCGGCTAAAATAGTTACAAATTATCCAGACTTTTTGCCAAAGGATTACACAAATTATTTTAAAAGGCTAAAATAAACAAAGATAAATATTTAGCAGTTAAAATACCTCCAGATTATCGAGGTCAGGAGATTCATCTCCAACCTGCATAAACACCTGAGCCAGTGCACTCCCTCCAAGTCGGCTATACTGCTTATCTAACTTTACATAAAGTAAAGCTCCTTTTCTATCATGATGCTTAATATCTGGTGTTACAATGTTTTTAATATCAGGACAGGGAGCGTATACTGAGACCACTAGAGATCCTGGGGATTTAACAGTTTCTTCACCAAGTCTAGCAGCCATGCTTAAGGAATCTTTACCACCATCAATAGAAACACCTAATTTCGTCAAGGCGTCACAAACAGCCTTGCAAGCATCATATAATGCGGCACCTTCACCCGGGAGTTTTGCTGGCCACATCCAGTTCGCACTACATTTCACATCCTATAAAATGACGAAATGAGGTGAAATCATGATTTCATCAATTGCTTCGTACTCAATGATCCTAGCTACTTCTTAAAACTATGCATAAAATGAATTACGTATATTACAAATTAAATACCATATATTTAAATTGTAGCCAACACACTAGGACATAGATTTTTGTAAATTTCCAACCAACACACTAGGACACAAGATTTTTGTGGGTAACCTGTTCACAGATAACGTTTTATGACGAATGTCTTGGAAGTTAGCATTTAAGAATACAAGTTATTTGCAATCCACGCACAAGCCATACAGAATTCTTTTTTAAAGAATACGTCCCTATAAGAATGTTTCGCCAGGCATAAGAAAGATTTCCCGCTTCTTTTTTCCACAGTTTTAAATTTTGCGAGAGAATACATTTTATGCTACCATAACGTACGCGCTGTGCGCCTACTTTTCAAGCCTTACCTTCAATTCCGAAATTTGAGCAAAAACCAAATTTGTCAAAGCTTCACCTAATGACATACGGGCACCAGCGCAGGGATCGATAAGCATTTTAATTGGTTGTTCACCAATAGCAGTGGCAGCACCAACAGTGTCATGATAACTTAGTGAGGTCACAGCAACATCAGCAACTGGAGTATGAAGAGGACCAACACATTGCTGTTGAGCAACTAAGCCAGTCACGCTTCGATCAACCTTACAAGCAAGTTAGAAAAGTAAAGAATGTTTTGAAAAGAGTCAATCAGCTAATAGACAAAAGTGTATTTGCAAACACTTGATATGGATTCAAGTTTAACTACGAATGAAACAAATGATTTCTCCTAAGGTACAGCAGGATAATTTTGTACCTTGTTTGTTAAATATCGTTTGCTTGCAACTGATGGTAGCCTTAAAACACGCTCCAAAGCTTCTATGACTGTCAATGTTGCATCAAGCTCCAAAGGTTTCAAAGTGACTTTTACACGTTTCATTTTGAACTCCTACGATAGCATGTAATGACTGATGGGGATGTATGAAGGATAATACAAACATGAAATGATTCGTTCACTAACCTTTCTGGGCATTTTACCTAACACAACATCAAGTTCAATATCAACAGGATCTCGTTTCTTTTTTTTCTTAGGAGAAAAACCATTCATGCTACCGTTTATTTTGCCCTCGCTCCCACAATTATCTTTTAACACTATTTTACCGTCACCTGCACAAGAAAACATTCAAGAAAGAAAGAAATAATTAGTTATGTTTCAGTATTTCTCTACTTGATGTATTGCACTGGTCTCAGAAAATGTAGTTAAAGACAAAGTGTTAAGACATGAAGGTTGAAACTCGGGATCCAAACTTTTTAAAAACACACAAAAAATCGTACACGAAACTGTTTACAAAACACTACTTTTTAAAACGTCTGCCACAATGTGCTATTCAACTTACCAGTTATAGTTCCGACAAAACAAACATCAACTTTTTCTCTTTCACAAATCTTTCGAAGTAACTCATTATGTTCTTTTTCACAAGTAATGCGTTACTCTCTTGGTACTCGGCTCCCCAAAGTTCAAGTGTTGATATCGTTGGATCACCAAGCTTAAATGCTTTAGCATAAATAATCGCTCCATTTGGTTCAACTAGCTCTTTTAAAACATTGCCTAGATGGAAACGAATATAAATTTTGATATGTTTAATTAGAAATGTAATTTTAATTGAAAACCATAAAAACAATGTCTATGAAGAAACGTCCACTCAAGTCATTATTTTTTACCATTTCCTCCAGCTCCTTGATCATGAATGCTACAGATTGGATTATTTTCTTTCATCTCGACACAAGCTCGAATAGCTCGATTCAACTTCTGTTCCATTTCAGCATCACCTCTCTGTACAGCACCAAAATCCAGATCAGTTGAATTATCACCTTGTATTTGTATGGATGACGCAGAACCACCACCAACACCAATACGGTAGATAGGACCACCAATTTTAACAACACTCATACCTAAAAAGAGGAGATTACATTGTACATTTGTTCTGTAGATCTAGCGTTAACAGTATATTTTAAATTAACTTGCAAATAATCACAGTCTTAAACGTATCTCAAGCGTCTTTTGTGTATATTTGTATTGTATAAAAAACAATGTATGTCCTTAAAACAAATTTAATCGGCATGACTTTGATAATATTTCATCTTTATCCTCATGATCATCGTCATTGATCACGTCATTTTATTATATGGCAATCGTCACTTCCGGCTATGGAAAACAGTTAACTATCCAGACAATACAATGTGCAACGATTTATTTTTTATGGACGAAAAGTAGAAAAGTGAAAGACGTAATTTAGGTCCCGGACAAAATCAAGAAAGGAAAACAAAAGAAAGGAAGCAATTCGAAGTGAGTTCATGGAAGTGAGTAGGATTAAGAGGTAAATGTGATGAAGGATTTTAGAGGTTAGGTAAAATGTCAAATTGAAGTTAAAAATGTTAACACAAAGTAATTTTGAGAGGTTACAATAATTGAAGGTCAAATAATTTTAGTCTTTTGATTTCAAAACATGATACAGTGCTCACAATAATTGACTTAGATTACAAATAAGGCAGAGAAGTGCAAAGTGTTCCAAGAAAATTGTGAAATCTCTGGTATATTATTCCTTTTAAATAAAAATTTCAATGGGAGAGAATTTTGGAATATGAACAAAAACAGATAATGTTTGCAAGCACAGAGCACTGCAAACAACTGCATTGTGGTGAAAATAGTATACAACCAACCTATTTCAGAAGGTTTTTTCATAACATGCCTTTCATCAATTGATCCAATACCACCACTAAACATGATTGGTTTGATCCATTCCCTTCGCTCCATATTTGGTAGAAGCATACCAAATGAACGAGAAAAACCTGCCAAAACAGGTTCACCAAACTTGTTTCCATAATCTGAAGCACCATTACTTGCCTCAACTGCTATTTCCAAAGCAGATGCAAAATTTGTGGGATATATCCAATCATTTGATTCCCAAGGTAATTTATATCCTATATAATTACAAATAACATAAATAGGCAACTAGTTTAGTTACATATTACAATATTTAACAGTCCACAAATCATTCATTTGATTAGACAACCTGGAATATTTAAGTTTCCAAAACAGTAACCAGCAGTACCAGCCACAACATTTGCACCAGTTCCTGCAGCTTGTACATCTCGTATTCGCCCCCCTGTCCCAGTAGTAGCACCAGGAAATGGTGCAACACCTAGAGAAATGTAACAATACAAAGCACCATGATAAACCAAACTTTGTCCACAAAATGTTTTATTCTTTACCAGTAGGAAAGTTATGAGTTTCAGCTGTAAAGACAATGTGACGTAATGAATCTTCCAACTTCAGAGAACTTGCTTCAGATGTATCATTTGGAAATATTGCAGGAACGTTAAAACCTTTAATAGCACTACATGTGAAAAATAAACACAGATATCAGAATAACAAAATATTTCTTTCAACTTCAGAAAAGATCTGGTTGACTTGGAAACCCTGATAAAGCATATGAAAACATAACAGCTAACTAACAGCTACTGTACCTAGTGCTTGTACAATTAGAGCTAAATAAAGTTGCAAATATAGTTTGACATATAGAAACACCCTTAAAGTAAATATTGTTCTAAATACATACCTACTGTTATCTGATAATCTTATGATGCTATTATTATTTGAAAATAGAGCAGTATTTTCAATTATTTCCATCATAGATTTCTCAATTTCTTTTCCATCAATTATCATCTTTCCTTTAAAAAACCAATGTCGTGAATGTTCACTGTTTGACTGAGCCAAATCAAAGCATTCAACACTAGTTGGATTTCTTTTTAACTTTTCAGTAAACACTTTGTTGTAATAATGTAAATCCCATTGATCAAAGGCCAAGCCTAAATCCTGGTTGACCTCTTCCAAAGCTGATATGCCTCGAGACATTACATCTACTTCAAAGAATTCATCTGGATTTATATTAACATCAAACGTTTTCAGTGGTTCCTGATAAACAAATTGGGTCATTTGATCATGAAGGACATTTGCAAATGACTTCTTCAATTCAGAATTACAATTAAGATTGGAAGCAGCACTGTCCTCATATTTCACTTCTATCAAATATCTAAGACACTTCTCAATACGTTTGACTTGCTCTAACCCTATAGAATGGCATACGGACACAGCATTTGTCGACCAAGAAGTTTGAAAATTTAACCGAGGGCCTATTTCCAAAATTGTAAATTGACATGAATTTTGGGCTAGTGTTCCAGAAAGAAAAGAACTTTTAGCAAGGTTTTCTTCATCAAAAGAAGCCGATAATATCCAACAAAGTTTCTCTTCGTCTTTATCAGATAATCGCGAGCCATCGTGCATGTCGATGTAAAAGCATGTTTCTGTTAGCACTCTCGTAACATGTGGAGAGATGTTTTGTAATTTTTTCAAACATTCTTCTGTGGATGAGTGGGAAAGCCCAGGAAAACGATAGTACACCAACATTTCAATGAATCACAACAGTCTTTTAACTAATAAAGTAACTTCAAGCACATAGGCACTTTCCTTTCCCTCCAGTTGGATTGGCATGCATAGTTACATGTGCTCACCATTGGTGCTCACCACTGCTCAGATGAGTTAGAAAATAGGTACGCAACGCGTACACGAATAAGAGTACACTATGAACACCGAAGACAGGACGATTTAAACTGTGTAAAGGTTCAAAGTGTAAGGGTAAGGGTAAAATTATTTCCGTTTTAGCTGCAAAAAATCAGCAATATTCATTCTACTATTCTTAGTACATTGGAATGCTAAGAGAACACATGGGTACTGGCAGAAAATGAATCGAAAAGAAATTCACCGAATTAAATATTACATAAAAATTTGACCAAAATGCCAAAGGAGAAGGTCTATCAGACTTTCGCAAAACGTGACTAATTTTATGCACAGACTACAAACCTGAGATCAAAATTTTAATAATTTGTACAATTAATGTTGGTGAATTTATTCAACCAAAGACACACAGAATACAAGATTTTTAATCAGTTAATCAAATTTTTGCCTTCTCATGTGAAAATTCGTACGTCAACTCATTCCCACCGCCAAGCAAAATACTGCTATTTCATTGGCAACTTTTATTTCACATTATTTTTAATTATTTCATTACATGCTTTATTTACATGCTATTGTTTTTGAAAAAAACGCAAATAACACGAACAGAAAACGCTTATCAATGATAAACGAACCAATGTGCAAGGTACATTTAGAAGTTCTAGACTAAAATATTAATGATATGGTACATATCAAAATATGAATTGCTTACAAAATATATTTACTTAGTATATATTGAACTTACGAAATTATTTTTAAATTCAATTGTTTCATGATAATTCATTCGATTTGTTTAAAATTAGCATAATCGGAAAAGCTATCCAAATATTCCTGGACTCCGACGTAAATGAATTCGTATTGATCCTAAACAAAATAAAACAATACACAACTTAACTCCTATTTTCTATCTTTGATAGCAAGACAGCCAAAACTTTCACTCCAGTTTTATTAAAACTATTTAAGTTCATTCACTGGAATGAAAACAACGAATGAAATGAAATTAAATAATTTTGCGAAAGCATTTACATAGTTAGAGTGAAAATTCGGGAAGGCTTCGTCACTACTTTAAAATAAGAATTATGGTATACAAACATACCACATGTTTGACAACTCCAGGTCTTTGTATACGCAAAGCTTTTACAGTTTGAAATACATCGACGACTTGCTCTATCTTTACTCTTTCCAAAACAGAACACAAAGCTGCAAAGGTTCCACTGCGACCCTGACCATCACTACATGAGGAATGGATTTAACAAAACCATCAATCATCATTGATTTGTAAGTACAGTTGAATATAATTATATTTATATTGATGGTTTTGTATAGCAAACGTACTTGCACACAATTGTTATGGGGCCATTTCCTGAATGTTGTTGCCATTTTTCAATACTCTGGATCAGTGAAATAATCATGGATACATCAGTAGGCACCGACGTCTCTTTCCATGAAAGATGTTGAAACATTTTCACTTTAAAAGGCTTGTCTTCATTCTAAGAAATACAGTTCAATTGCGTTCAATAAACTTCAGCTTGAATGTAAACGCTGTTAGTAAAACACATAATATTAAGGTGAAGACGAGTCTGCGTGCAGTTGCAGCGAAGGAAATAGCGGAAGGGACTTGGACTGGAAGTGCTCGCAGGCTAAAGTGACTGGGACTAAAAGTGCTCGAAGACGACATATGACGACAACACACAAATATAAATAAATAAAGTGCATACTTTTGTGATTTTGAACTTCCTTTCGATCATATCTGCATTTTCATCATCCTCATTTGACTTATCTTCACTCTCTGCGTCAACTCTAGACGCGTCGGACATCAATTCAACATTAAATTCACCATAATCTTGTGAGTTTTCAGCAGGCCAAAACTCGGGGAAATCCTTAAAAAATAAAATCAATTTATAAGTTGTCCTTTCACTAAAACAAAAGAAACAATGATTTGAAGAATATAACGAACTCACTCCTTCCTCTTCATCGAGATTAATAAAAACAACAACACAGGCCGAACGTTTGTCATATAACATGTGCCAGAAATCACAAATGGTTTCTTTCAATGGTGCTTGAGTGACTATGAAAGCATTTTGTTGTTTATAACCCTGAAAAACAATTTCAAATCTTATGTTTTATGTTCAACAAAGAAACAACGAAAACCTTCAACAGACTACATACATCAAGAAAAACAGCATTAATGTAAGGACCATCGCATTTGTCGTCATTTTCATCCAGAATAACTCTACCATGATCAGCTGTTTAAGATTACAAGTCATTATTAAGTTGACCAATTCATCAAAACAATTAAAATACATGGTGGGTTTTCATCGATCAAAACACAGCTAACGTCCATTGCTCACCAATCAAAAGACAGCTCACATGCATTGCTCACCAATCAAAACACAGCTCACATGCATTGCTCGTCAATCAAAATCACAGCTTACATGCATTGCTCACCATTCAAAACACAGCTCACATGCATTATTCACCAATCAAAACACAGCTCACATCCATTGCTTAACAATTGAGCTTGAAGTATAAAACTGACTTGGAAAATAAGAAAGTTCATGAACACATGCCTTCATCATGCGACTTACAAGCAAGAATTCCATGAAAACGGTTCTTAGAAACATTCTCTGATTTCGTTGCCACAGTAAACGACTCTTTCGGCAAAGAAGGAGACACTCTACTCAATGTCTAAATAAAAATGCAGTTTGAAAATTTGTATTTAAACGCGGATGATTTTTTTCTTGTCTAACCCAGCCTACGTTATGATTCTTCTAGAATCGAGAAAAAACGACATCTTAAATAAATAGTTAATTTGAAGGTATGTTGAGTTACAACTTTACCTTGAATTGTGACTCGTAACCTGACGATTTAGTTGTGGGGTCTTTTTGCCTCAATTTATTCATTTCAATACGTAAATTATGAGCAGCGATTTCAGTGTTACCGCACAATATTGACTCAAGTAAAGCATCGTGACAGAACACATATTGCTCCTAGGACAGAGACAACAACACGAAAATAATTATAAAAAATTCATATATCAACAGAGAATTTCAACGGGTCAATTTGGCATGACATTGTAATGCTCACACACAGTGAGGGTTTTAATGGATAACGATGGTTGTTGGAGGGTTTTAATTGATAATGATTGTTTGTTAGTAGACACTGTCAGTTGTATATTTACCTCAGTCTGTACCATATGCATTCTTCTTGTTCGCAAATATCTCACATAGTTGTAAATGTCGATTGTTTCTTCATTTTGTATTCGGGATAACATGGCATCGATAACAATAAATGTACCGGATCGACCAACTCCAGCGCTAAATAATGTTTGCAAGAAAAAAGAAAATATTTTCAAACGCTTGCTTGAATAGTTGAAAAAACAGGTTGCACGTTCATATTTGCACAAACATACGAAACTTCATAAGATAGCACAAATTTTAATCAAGCGGTAATGATACTAATATGCTTAATATATTTGCCAGTTACATGAAGCAGACACAGATCTCCTGAGATGAGCAATGTTGGTTCATTTTGACGCCAGACAATTATGATGCACAAGCCCAGAAAATTTATCAGATCAAGCTTACGCAGGGCTCCTGGTGAACAAAAAGCTACCACCCGCCTCCCCAATCGACACCTCTATAGAAACAAACTAAAAAATCAATGCTTTTTTGTGTTAGAAATAAAAAATATGTACAAAAAATTGTGATATTCACAAAAAATATTTCTGCAAAAGTGTTTTCTAAACGAAGATAATTTTACTATGAATTTTATACAATGAGTCGCAACGTTTCTTGGTTTGATTTACGAACATGAAATTTTATCCTATTCATTATATAGCTAAACTACAAGTTGACACTTAATGAAAGCACTTGAAACTTTGGCTCTAATATGAATTTTATGAAAACGCGGGCCTATGGCAACCACTCAAAATTTAATCCGGCCCAGAGTCTATAGAAGCAAATTACGTGACCTACCTGCAATGCACAGCTAGAGGTCCATAATCACGTGAGCTATACGCTCGTACACGTCTCTGAAAGGCAAGCAAAGCCGTAGGATATTCTGGTACTCCATGATCTGGCCAAACAGTGAAATGAAACTGTTTGACTTCGCGTTCTTCGTCTGTTTCATTCTGTAATGCAATAAAAATTTCGTCTCTCCTTTCAGAATATTGCTTTTTATAGAAAAAGATAACGACACTATATATTAAAGTTGTAACATCAAAACTATACATGACACAATTAAAAAAACTAGACGTGACTCAAAAACAAATGTAAAAATATTTCCCAGCTTAAATGTCAATACATATGAAATCAAAACTTTGAATAATATATTGATTTGACGATGGAAGAGATAGGAGATAAAGACAAACCTTCAAAAGAAATGTCCTAATGACGTAATCAGCATACTGTTCGCGTCGTGTACCGGTCACAATGATTTGATCGTATGATTCAGAATCTTCAGGCCAATATTTATGACATTTTAGCTATAGTATATGTATTTTTCATGATTATCATCAACATTTTAAAGATTAAAAGAAAACCTTTACAAATATGAGAAGCTAAAATCATGGAAACAAATCAATTTGACTAACAAAAATTTGTCTTTCCTTTGTGTAAAAACGATTTTCATCATATATTCTTTGTATAGAAGAAAATTATGAAAATAAAACAAAAATGCTAAATTCCAAGTTCAACCTTATGTCTTTCCTGTAGGTTTGTTAACATAACTATTGCCGAAACACTTTTCTCCCATATCATTCGCCAAAAATCATTAAATGTAGACGAAAGCGGTCCTGCAAAGGAAGAAAATCGCTAATTATCATATGACAAACATATTTACCACAAACACGTGATTTATTCAAAATGATTCTGCTCAGAGCAAAATATTTTGTGCTCACAATACAACTTAAGGCGATTGTTTCTCTTTAAATTTTCATCCCCAAGTGGAACACAGACTAAACACAAAATAATTTTTAGTCTTTACCTTGAGTTGCTATGTATGCATTTGCAGAGTTATATCCCTAGAAAAGATGGAAAGAAACTGAATAAATGCAAATGAAAACCACTCGTAGTAATCAATTATTATAAATACTATCATAAAGAGAAGATTTTGAAATGCATAAATGTAAAACATGAAATTTAAATCTTACATCTATAAAAGAAGCGTTGATGTAAGTTTTACTGTCATCATCATCTAACTGTTTTAGATGAACTCTAGAATGATCATCTAAATAAAATAATAAATTTGTTAAAGATTGAAACCTCTAGAATAATAAAATTAAAGTAACTATGGTCATTTTAATAACTATAATTTGATACACTTACATGCAATAATGTTGGCGTATCTATTCTTATCTTTGTTTTCTGGAGATGTAGCAAAGTCACTTGTGTATGTTTTATTCGGTTCGAGAGTCTAAAATTTTTAAAAAGCAGCACGGTGCTTTGTTAAATTATACGTTCAAACGAAAAAAGTAATTTGTAAAATTAACTAGAATAGTACAAAGTTTCTAAAAAACGCTGCATTTGACTCCATAAAATATATGTTTCATGCATTTGTTTTATTTCCTCATTAACTCCCATTTAATTTAGATTCATGTATCATGAGCCAAAAATCTATTGACTTCATGGTAAATAAAAACATTTTTAATAAAACCGAACACAAGCTGAAGTCTAAATAACCAATTGTCGTCGTGTTGTCCACGGTTTACTCGTAAGCAATCTCCTTTTCAACCACAATGTAAAGTACCGCTGTGTATCGGCTACTTAGGCATGGTGCGAACAAGAACTGTTGACAAGGACTCAAATCGTTCAAAACAACATTTCTTATCATTCATGTTTCGAATTCGAGGGTAAGAAACAAACACAAATCTTCAGACATATCGAAAATATTGAACACACGATCCCCAACGTCTGACAATCACTTATGCATAGTGAATAGTAAAAATGAACTAAAATGAAGAACTTACGTTGTATTGGATCATAAATCCACGATCGTCTGACTTGTGAAGCTTGCCAACATACTTTGCAAAACCGGAAACATGAATAGGTGGATGATTAGGGTCGGGAGTACCATCTTCCACTTGACTATTTTTCCTTTTCCCTTGTAAAGGAAAAGATTAAGACAAAAGTATAGATGAGATGCAACAGAACGTCAATGTTTTAAGACTCGAGGAAGAATCAATGTACGTATATGCTTAGATGTATAAATTTAAACATTGTACCATTGCCTTTCTTTGTAAGAGGAAGAAGTTCTGAGTTTGGCTCTTTCTTCTCTCCAGTTTCAGGATCAATCTCTACGATCTTCTGTTGTCGTGATCTATTAAATAATGCTACATTACAAAAACATACTATAAATCCTTTTCCTTAAAGTCGATAGCTAATGATGTATTTACAAAAGAACGTAAAAATATAAGAAATTTATCTCAAAACAAATGATTTTTCAAAGCAAACCACAGGAACTCACCTATAATAAATCACTCCAAGAAAAACAAGAGCAATAACCAGAAGCAAAGATATTGTTACTCCAACAGCAATTCCCACTACATTCCCACCACTTTTTCTGTCAACATCTACACCTACAACAACCATTGACATGTCTTAACATTGACATTTCACTGGGACAGAAATGTTTTATGTCAACACAACATCCCAGGTGAGCGAGTGAAAAAACTAATCTGTCTTTCTTCATGCCAATATTTTTGCCAATACAAGCACGCGCCTAATTTTTCAATATGGCAAGATAACTCTTTCATTATCGGTCTATCGTAAACAAACCGTAACTTGTTCAAGTTGGTTTACAATAACACAAATTACAAATACCTTTTGTTGAGATTTTCAAAGGATCCGAAGGCTTTCCAAAGTTTGGTTCCTGTAAGAAAAAATAATGAATATTATTGATCATTCTTTATTAGACATGTAAAGCGCAGCTTAGAAAACAGAGTAAGATAAAAACTATTTTCTAAACATAAAAAACAGAAAAAAATGACAAACGTTTATAGTGCAGCGAAGTAAAATTAATTTCTTTAGACATCTTTGTTGTTACAGTAATTGAAAATAGAAAAATTGGCAAAACAGGACTAAATAAGCAGGCTGGCTAGTAGCTACGCCACAAACAAGGCATTTTGTTGGTCATCTTTTGCAAATAACTAATGAGAAGTCTTGTTTACATACTGAGCTCTCCATCGACATTCATTGAACTTGGAAATGAATTTAAGAACTTCACAAAAATGAAAACAATTTGAAGATGAATGTTTATGTGTAAAAAACAAGTGCTTGATTTCATTAAAAGAATGAGTTAAAGGGTCATTAATTATGCACTTCGTGTTTATAGTTGCATACGGGAACTTTGTTAAGAAAAATGTCGTCAATGTTGCCATTGAGAGTTGCGTCTCGTACGTTTATTTCACTTATCATTTTGTTAAATACTTTTATATTTTTCCTTAAAATAGAAAACCAAGTTTTAAATATTAAAAATATTCAAATTTTATTATGACTCTACTCCTTAGATAAGAAAGCCACAATTTTTGTGGTTACCTAAACGGATTAACTCAGCGCGCAAAGCATTACCCTGTGACTCATTCTTAAAGTCTCACCATTTTATCGTTATACGAGACTCCTCTTGCGTAAATATAATAACTCGTTTCAGGTAAGAGTTCAACATTTTCATATTTTCCGTACATTTCGCCATCACCAACCACAAACTCAGTAAAGTTATTTTCCACTTCAGCAGCAATATAAACACATGTAGCATTGCATCTTTCTTGTTCGTAGCCCTGAATGATGTCTGGTAAAGTCGGAGGTTCCCTTCTTTTTCTCGTAGATACATCTTTATTTTTTTCAGCAATAATTTGTATTTTGCTAAAAACAAAACAAAAACGACTTCAAACTATAGGCTTCATAAGAAGCAGGATCAAATAAAGAACCTGTTTTTTAAATTTGTAGGTATTGTACTACTAGATATAAGAACGTATTATATTACCCAACTTTACAAAACATAGTTCTCACCATTGTTTCAAGAATATATGTCAATGCATATAGTTGATAAAATATAGTTGATAAAATACAGTTTTAATCATAGTTTACAGAGAAAGGTGAAGCCATACATAAGTGAATATAGCTCATTACATACACATTGTCACCGCCATGTTTCATCAACTGTATCTTGACCGATGATGACGTTGTCGATCCTTCCTTGGCTTTAGGTTGTGTCATTTTAACTGGTTCTGTAAATCATTGTATATTATCGATGAAAACACTAAATAAATATGAAAGTGGAAAATTTCACGCAAATCCACTTTTTTCGTCATTAGCACGCAATACATTCAACAATAAAAATATAGTTTACGCATGGAAAACTGATTTATATGGATAATTCCAAGGTAAGTTAAAAAGTAAAAATTTTTCAGCATTTGGCAACACTTTATCGTCGTCAAACATTTCTCTGTTAAACTGAACAATACGCATGCGTGTCCATTCCACCCGTCATTAAGATCATCGATTTAGTAAAACTTCACGAGAGGAAAAAACACTTGAAAACAACTTTAGGAACGAAAATTTTGTAAAACAAATTACGTTAAGTTTAATTTTGCTTTGAAATGCGTAATAATTTCATTCAATGGTAAGAACGGTTTTACACTTAATTTGGCTCATATACCTTCCGCAAGAGTGGAGAATTTTCCTGAGTTTCCTCTCCTACTACTTCCATGTGCATTAATAGAAACCACCCATACTTCATATTCTTTATTTGGAGTCAAATCTCGGAGAGTTATTTCCGTAAAATAAGATGATATCTCAGAAACAAACTGAGTAACAATTTGTTTGTAGACCACCTTGTATCCCGTAATGGCATCTGCACCCTGATAAATTGGCTTACTCCAAGTAACAGTAGCAGAATTGTCTCGTATATCCTGAACAGTTACGTCGGAGGGTGGATCAGCTCGACCTAAAACAGCAAACAAAGTGTTTTGCAGTAACTTAAAAAAAATCAAACCCTAACTGAACATTAATTTACTTACCATCAACAGTTAAATTAAACGTTAAGCTGTCTTTAGTTTCATTATTATTTGCAATACACTTGTAAACACCAGAATTAGTCAATTTCACATGTTCAATGAAAAAGGAAACTCCTTCTTTTGCTAAGGACGTAAAGTAATTATCAGTAAACAAATAACAATACATTATATCGTAATGTGTCATTATTCGCGAAAATCATCGTAATTTTTTAGTTAAAAAAGTATGACAAATTAAAACATACGAAAACAATTCTTAACAAAGTTGAAAAAATTCTCAGACCTGGATAGTCGTCATTTGGTGTGTGCCATGTTATTGAAGGTTTAGGCAAACCTTCTGCATGACAAAATAAGTCGAGTCTTTTCCCATAACGCAATATTACATTAGTAGTTTCTGGTTTAAAGTCTGTAATTTCGACAGTTCTACCTAAAAAAAAAGGGAATGCCATGTAAGGTCGCATATACAGAATAAATATATAATGTGCCATATGGTAGTCGTGAAGTGTACCCAAAAAAATAAATAAAAAAATGAAACTTTCATCATGGTATCACAACCAGATCTCGATTTTGAAGTAGCCTCATAATCTTTGCTCTGACTGAAAATGTTTTGCGATTCATGGCATCAAGTTCTTATTTCAAAACAACATATAAAGAATTAGATTTAAGACCTGGATATTTTAAAACTATGTATTAGACTAGAAGATTCAGTGAAAAAATGGTTGTGTTTAAAAGCGATGAATTAAAAGAAAAACTATGTTTAAAGAAACGACAAACGACATAAAAGTTTACCTCTACACATTACTCCATCGCCTTTATATCCAGGAAGACATTCACAATTAAAACCTCCAGGAATGTTTGTACAATTAGCTCGTGGAGGGTCGCTACAGTTATCTTTCTTCTCCGAACATTCATCAATGTCTAAAATGAGAACATTGTTTTCATACATCCAAAATGTACATACGAGAACGTCATTGTGACGCATGTACTCCATAATGTACACAAGAGAACGCCATTGTGACGCATGTGTTCCATAATGAACATTACAGAACATCATTGTGATAAATTTGTACCATAATGTACATTAGAGAGCATCATTGTGACACATGTATTTCATAATGACCAGAGAACATCCCTGTGATATATGTGTACCTTTACTGAACATAGAGAACATTATGATACAGGTGTTTCACAATGAACATTAGAGAGCATCATTATCATATATGTAATAATGTTGATGGTGTTTATGTTAATCTATGACTTTAAAAAGACTCTCAAAATTATCATTTTGTCACTCGTCATTCATGCATGTCCTTACCCACACAATTCGTTTTTCCATCACCACTATAACCATTCTTGCACATACATTTGTAACTTCCATCAAGATTGATGCATTTAGCATTAACATCACAGTTAAAGCTGCCAACTTCACACTCATCAATATCTTAAAATTATCAATTAAAGACCACATTCAAACATCATGTGAACAAATAAAGAATGGTTTGAAAATTGACAAAGATCTTTTATTGCGTGGACCACTTTTTCTGTTGGACTGAACAACAACATTTTGATTGAACGTAATAACAAAACGATGTGCAAAGATAACAACGAAATTATAAAAATATACGATTCAAATAGAGTCAAAGAAACTGCGGATCGTCAATATAAAGATAAATGTCACAAAGTCAAGTTAAAAGACATAGTTATGAGCATTTTTAATTATGTGAAGGAAAGTTTCAAATGCATGAAATCCAGCACAATTTCTAATTTATATATTTAGTTTCATGACAAACAAAACACAAATGTATTCTTGTGTCAAGAATACAATAAAATCATTTTGGGATATTTATTTTATGTTTGAGCTTACCTTCACATTTTGTTTTTCCATCACCACTAAAGCCATTGTTACATGCGCATTTGTAACTTCCTTCAGTGTTGGTGCAGTTAGCATTTACATGACAGTTACCAGGAACATTACACTCATTGATGTCTTAAAATGAAGATAAATGAGAAATATAAAATATACTGATAAATACAAATGCTGTATACTGATATAAGAATATTACCACACAAAAAATGCATATATTTATTACTAACATCATTGTTAAAATTTAAAGTTTTTTAAAATTTAAATTTTTGTAAGCATGTCCATACTAAAGCTAATTTTTGATCCATCATTTGTACACTCATCAATATTTAATATATTGAACAATATTGTTAAATCATTTTGCGATATTTGTGTGTGTTAGGACTTACCATTACAATTGTTTAATCCATCACCTCTATAGCCATCCTTACACTGGCATTTGTAACTTCCTTCAGTGTTGGTGCAGTAAGCGTTTACATTACAAATATTGGGGTCAGCATCACACTCATTGATGTCTTCAAATAGATAATAAAAAATACCATATGAAAAAATAAGAAATGGGATTTTGATAAAACTACAAATAAAACAATTGTCTAATATATACGGATCATAAAGAACTATAACGTTTGTTTGTTTTTGGCAAGCCTAAAAAATTATCTTTGACACAACTGCAACATAAATCCAGATTACTGATGCGCTCAAAAGTTATTTGCCAACTATTCGTGAATTTCTTGTCTAGTGAAAGTAAGTGATAACAACAACGTATTTTATCACAATTTAAGAAAAAACGTTTCTGCATTGATTAGAATAAGTTCTGAAACAATTATGCTTTGGACAACATACTTTAGCCGTGTTCATTTATGAAAATTACCTAGCTACAGGTGCGCTGTATGAAAAAATGTTACAATTAGGGATTATGATTCACAAAATCGATAATTCCTATGCCGAATGTGATTGGCAACTGTCGTATTTCAGGATTTATGTACAAATGTCGATAGCAGTTTTGTACCACAAAGCATAACATTTTTCATTGATTGAGAAATTCCAGATTGAGCAGTTTCAACCATTCAGAATTTAAAAATTTTACAATGGGACTTCAAATAAAAAATACTAAGATTTATTGAAGATGTTTAATTGACAAAAGCAAATAGTGTGGTTTTGCTCTCCAGAAGAAAGAATGAGCAACCGGTTGCTTGCTGCATGCTTCAATGTCATTTCTTCACTGCAAATCATTGAAGACGAGTTCACAGATAACAGCAAGGATGCAGACTGAACACTGTATTAACATATCTGTTCTATTAGGGAGGCAAGTTTTAATGGCTGCAAGCCTAAGAGGAGTTTAATCCAAGTCTTACTGCTAAATATTAGGAGTATTACTGCTAAACTGGAAGGGCTAGGTCATTTTGGTGAGAAATCCCTACTTCTTTACACAAGTTATAAAACAAAGAGGATGTAAGAAGGATGAATCTCAAGACAATGATCTATTTGAAGGGTCTCATCCCACCAATGTCAACGAACAGTGTAGTACTATATTAAAGACTGTCTGACAAAAATCTAATAATTCAATATAAACCTTTGGCCAACATTTGACCAACAATTTAGCATGAGTAAATTAGACCAATAAAATCAATAATTATGTTTAAGCACCTTCATTTTTTTGCCATTTTACATTTTTTTCCTTCAGTGTTGGTGCATGACACAATTGGGACCACACATGATAAAATTTATTGTCTTAAATGGGACTGATAGAATATTATATAATTTATCATAACATCATTGGGATATTTAATTTTTATGTTTGCCCTTCCACAATTGTTTAATCCAGCCATCACTTCAAAGCCATTGTATACATGTGTCATTTGTAACTTCCTTCAGTGTTTGTTTGTGCAATTCCTTCAGTGTTGGTGCATTTACATGACATTTATTGGGACCATTGCACTCATTGATGTCTTAAAATAGTTATTGAAGATAAATGAGAAATATAAAATATACTGATAAATGCAAATGCTGTATACTGATATAAAAATATTATCACACAAAAAATGCATATATTTATCACTAACATCATTGTTAAAATTTAAAGTTTTTTAAAATTTAAATTTTTGTAAGCATGTCTATACCAAAGCAGTTTTTTGATCCATCATGTGTACACTCATCAATATTTAAAATATTGAACAAAACACATGTAAAGTAGTCTTGGGACAAGAATATTGTTAAATCATTTTGTGATATTTGTGTGTGTTAGGACTTACCATTACAATTGTTTAATCTATCACCTCTATAGCCATCCTTACACTGGCATTTGTAACTTCCTTCAAGTTGATGCAGTTGGCATTTGCATTACAAATATTGGGGTTAGCATGACACTCATTGATGTCTTAATATTCAATTAAGATAAATGATAAATATAAAAGAAATTATTAAATATAAAATAAACTGATTGTATATAGAGTATGCAAAGTTTACGTTACCTTCACAAGGTTTTCCTGAGTAACCTTTCATACATTTACATCTGTAAGTACCAAGTTTGTTGATGCACTCTTCATTTCTTCCACAAACATTATTCTTACACTCGTTTACATCAACTGTATGACAGCAATAACAACAAATAATTTGAGTTAAGGGATATTAATGGATGACATAGGTATTATGCTCTATACTGGAAGAGAAATTAAATAAAAAGTTGCTTCAAAATTTTATTTTTCCAATGCAACAGCATAATTAACCCAATGGATAGATCTGTTGTGCATCTTAGTTACCAGAGTAATTTCTTAAATCATTGATTAATATACAGAGTCTTATCAATAAAAACCATTGGTAAAAACACTCAAAAAATTTCAATGTCAAAAATTTATTCCAACATGTAGTGCTACTTCAAAATATGTAAAATATTTTGATAGAAGTAAACAGGTGGCTTTCACAAATCAAAGAGCTTACAAGTGGTATCACAAAAATTACAAATATGCATATGTAGACCATGAGCAACAAGATTCATGCCAGATTTTTTAACAACAGTCGCAAGTTCAAGCAATCTCTTCAGTGCAGCACTATTAATAGCAGCACTATTTAACACAGACTATACGTACCACAACTAATATTAGCACCAGACCATGTACCATTTAGTTGACACATTCTCACTCCATCATTTAACTTATTTCTCATTTCATATCCTGACTTGCATTTGTATGTACATTTTTGAAAATCATCAGAACAGGTCAAAATTTGATTGCTAATATTTGGAAGTCTAGAACAATGACCTGTCAATGAAAATGGAAGAATGGGCATCAAAAAATAAGATTTAAGAAACTTCATCTTCACTTCATCTTCAATATTTTCCATTTAATATGCAAGCCATTCAAAAATGGCATCCTTTTGACTATCGTACCAAATACATTAGCATGATAACATTCACAAAACCAACAAACTTTTTTTGACTTTTATACAAAAAAAACATACCACAAGATAACACATCCAAATTCACAGCTGCACAACCCACATATTTCTTTATAGTTATGTTGATATTTGTCACTGGGTCAGGAATGGAAAGACTAACATCATGAATACCAGTATTGTCTTTCACTTTCTAGTGAAAAAATACAAAGCCCATCATTCATAGAAAAATAAACATTAAATACATGATTAATGCTATCAAAGTCTTGTTCATCTTAATTAGGGGAAGATCCATCTATAGGCAAAATAAATTACCACAGCCCATTGATTGGTGAAATTTTATTCTTTGGAAATTCATAACCATTAACATGGAGCTTTAAAATTAAAATTAAAGGACGCAATTTATTTTGCATAACTTTGGATCTGCTACTGATTTTCCTTACAATATTTATTCAACATCCACGGCATTGAAAACAATACATGACTAATGAATAATTAAAAAAGATAAATAACAGAGTTTGAAGGGTAAGAAATTCACATATCTTTGTCTTTAAATATCATAAATGAAATATACAAAACACAGTGTTAATGTAAATTTTCTTAATGACATACCGGATGCTTCCTTGTTTCACCATTTTCAACAGTATAATTCATTAAAAATCTTGTAACATAACAATTTTCAAGTGTACCATTTATATAAACTTTTCCTCCTTTCATTAATATGCTTCAAGATGACTGGGTAGTCAAAGTCTAAACTAAACCAACTATGTCTTCCTGCTCCAACCCATGGCATTGGGTCTGAATATCCAATATTTTCAATGCCATAGCTTGAACTTAATGGAGTCGATGATGTTTTGTGTGTAAGAGATAAAACTGATTTGGGGCAATCTAAAAACAGAAATATGTAGTGAATAAATTTTCAAACCTTTCGCTACCAGCCTACCCATAGTCCATGATTACCAACAACTGCCAAATTTTTCAGAACACTTAAGGCTAGGATGTACCTACATGTGTCCTTGGGTGCTGATTTATCACAGAAAGGAAGTATATATACAATTTCGAAGCAAGAGGGTTAAAGATTGCTGTAGCAATATATTTTAGCAAAGAAGTGAATTTTCAAATATATTTGAAAACATTGTCCCAACATCCAATTGTGATTAAAGAATAACTTCAAGCTAAACTTAAATTCACATTAACTGATCCTATTTTTTTCAAATTATATACTAAAATAATACCAGCTTATGAACATTTTCATGTAGAATTAAACATGTTTAAATATGAGAATTTGTCATGCTGTTTATGTGGGGAATAAAGTATCAATTATAAAGTTATCAAGTTATAAATAGAAAATTAAATGTCGCAAATGTAAGTTTTTTAAGTCATGTGAGTATTATTTAAAATATACATTCAATTCAAATTTTCATTAACAATGAAATACAAAAAAGACAGACTGAAGTCTTGCTCTAAATTAATGATTGATACCCGATAGCTATTTATAAAAAAACCACCCGTGTTCAAACTCATCTGCTTTTAGTGGTATGTTTTGCATTTATTTCAGTCAGAAAAACCAATAATAAAGTCTACAGAGGGAAAGTAAACGAGTACGTTCTTCATAGAACTTGAATAGTTACACATCTAAACAAAGAAACATGGCAATATTATGGTATGACTTACCAGCACAAAATGCGTTTCCGAAAAGCGTAAATAGGAAACAAAAAGAAAGAAACAATATTGCATAAAAGCCAACCATATTTTACACCTTTTCCATATAAAATACTTGAGATTTAATCGATTTTCAAACAATTAGAACAAAACGAAACGTAAATCAGCCTTTCCACTCGTGGACATACTAATAATATCCACCTCATTTTCTGTTTCTGTACTTGACCAATCAAAATTCATTATATGGGAGGTCACCGTGTTTCCGGGTATATAGCTACAGACGATCGTGTTCCGGGAAGTAGTAATGGTATATTTATTTGAAAATGATGACCCAGAGTATTCTTGCGCGTGGATCGAGAGTGTGTGCGCCAGCTGCGCTGAATTAGTAAGGGAGCTTTGAAAATATTAAATCTTTATACCTACATATATGATTGAGAGTAGCGTTCATCTTGGATTCACAAAC